ACTGAGGGAGTCATTTGCCCTTCTGAATAGACAAACATGATCTGCCTCACTAAAAGCAAGCACAAGACCACTGAGGGAATTACTTGCCCTTCTGAATTGACAAACCCACAATCTGTCTCACTAGAGGCAATCACAAGATCACTGAGGGAATTACTTGCCATTCTGAATTGACAAACCCACAATCTGTCTCACTAGAGGCAATCACAAGACCACTGAGGGAATTACTTGCCCTTCTGAATTGACAAACCCACAATCTGTCTCACTAGAGGCAATCACAAGATCACTGAGGGAAGTACTTGCCCTTCTGAATTGACAAACCCACAATCTGTCTCACTAAAGGCAATCACAAGACCACTGAGGGAATTATTTGCCCTTCTGAATTGACAAACCCACAATCTGTCTCACTAGAGGCAATCACAAGACCACTGAGGGAATTACTTGCCCTTCTGAATTGACAAACCCACAATCTGTCTCACAGGAGGCAATCACAAGATCACTGAGGGAAATACTAGCTCTTCTGAATTGACAAACCCACAATCTGTCTCACTAGAGGCAATCACAAGACTACTGAGGGAATTATTAGCCCTTCTGAATTGACAAATACACAATCTGTCTCACTAGAAGCAATCACAAGATCACTCAGGGAGTTGTTTTTTCATTCTGATTTTTTTTGTCCAATATTTAAAATATTAATAACATGTAAGATCTCTTAAAGTACTTTTTGCTTGATATTTAAAGGAGACTTTTATTTAACTGTGTAGGACATAACTTGATGACAAATTGCCTCTTCAAAATATTGTATATTACTTATAACATGGTAAAGAGGAAATCTTGGACTGTAAAATTAGTGTACATTTCAATGCTGGTATATATGTTGAAAATGATGTAATACTTCAGATCATTTAATCAATCAATGGGATTACATCAGATTCTGCAGTTTAAACTAAAGACCAGTTTCTCAGTAAATGTTTGCACACATATAATCGATAAATGGGGATACATTTCTTGGAATTTTCAATCAATTTGATGACTAATTTGGACTTTCATTGAACTGTAACAGTAGTGTGATATATACTATTGATGAAATTGTCATATGTATCAAGATATTTAATTAAAATCTTAATCATGCATTTCTCTGTACTTTTATTATGTTTACAACAATTGGATTAATTTTTTAGAGTAAATTCATACAAAGAAATTGATTTTTTTTATGATTTATTCATTCTCACTAATATAGTTTAAGATATTTTAAAGATGCTTAGCTGTAGGATATTTAACTGTTTATTATACACCAAACAAGCAGACTTGGGGCTTACAGTTTTTTGGATTGTTCATCCATTCTAACATTTGTTTGTCCCACTTTAGGTTAAGTTTTATGTTTAGTTTGAGGCATAATCAAGGATTGTGTGACCTTGATTTCATGCTTCAGTGAGCATGTTCATGCTGTTAGTATTTTGACAGGATGTAGGTGTGGTATGAACATGCAGTTTGATTTAAAATATGCTAGAATGATAAGGGCAGGTCTAAAAAAAACTGTGCCACCCTCTATGCAATCTGGACTTTTTCTATCTCTTTGGATGTTCATAGTGTATGCTTACCTTACTGTCGGTCCGCAGGAGCTTGGGTATAAATCTTTTGTCTAATTTTTCTAATGGTTTCTATGAAAGGGAATGATTTGTATTTGGTCTGCAGCTTTATAGTTTTTAGTTGAATTTTTACATAGACTTCGCAGCCACTTCCTATTTGCCAATAGTTTGAAATTTAACAACACTCATTGTACAAGGAAAATTTTCATCAAACTTTTCTTGAAAGGGAATGATTTTATTCACAAATTCATTTAAGCACCAAGTTTTTAAGAAGTTCAAATGAAGTTTCACTCCCAATATCAGGGTATGAAAATTTAATTTGGTTACTTTTTATTGGTAATAAGCAGTGCTATTTCACTCATGACATTTGGTTAAACACCAGCAATGTTAAAATCAATCAGGACATTGTGTAGGCATCAATTAAGTTTTACTCTTCTATCTTGGTATATGACAGGTATTATCACCAGTGCAAAACACCTCCACTCACACTAAAACTAAAATTCCTGGCCTTCCTAGTGCTGCAAACTATATAAACCATATATCTGTTCTGTCAAACAGAAATTCTATAATGGTCAACTATGAGCCCTAAGATGTTTACAACTGATGCTGCAGATGAACAGTTAAGATATATCTGTTCTGACAGTCAGAAAACATTTATCATATTACCACATGGACTTTGGATTGCAGCAGCTGACCCATATCAACTTATTTCTAAACAGAACTTAGATGTCACTATTTATTTTCTTTCACAGATGTGAATGTTTGATATTAGGATTAATGAATGTAAAAGAAGATTTGTTTATTTATTTTACTACATAAAACTGGAAAGTCCCTGTATGTTTATACTTAGAAGTTCACTGATAGAACAATTATTGATGAGAACCCTGACAAATTGAAGAGAAATGCAGATTATGTTCACATTTTATAGACATATTATCATTCATATAACAGTATTTCATTAGCCAAAGAGAATACTTATATTTATAACACCTGTCAGACAGAAGGCATTCTAAATCTCATAATCATTGTCTGGAAAAATCAGTTGTTACCTCAAAAACAATAAAAACAGCTGATTTATATAAATATATTTATTTTTACTTTCAAGAACATTTTAATCAACAGGGTATTTTTAATGTCACTATCTTAATATACTAAGTGAAAGTGTTAAATCAGCAGATTAGTTTAAAATTCAAGAAGATCAAAGAACATTTAAGATCTTACTATGAACAAAAAACTTTCAACATATAGTCTTAAGTTAACCTATGAAAATGAGTGATAGATATGGTTGCATCACTTACCAGTAAATCATATACCAAATTTCTTTGGATTAATGTCTATAAAAACATATATTTCTCAAATGACATGTAAAGCTGCCAATTAATTTTTTTTTATCTAAAAAACTTATTTTAAATTGATGTTACTTCCAGCAGGTGATAAAACATTTCAGTGTAGTATCCATATTAATTTTGAAAGGCAGTTTGTCTGTTTTGGCAGATTCTCTGTTCAGGAAGCTTGAATATGTGCATTGAAAAACAATTATAATTATGAAGTTGGAGATATTAAGTATTTGAAACTGTCAGTGAGACAGAAACCCAACAATACATGCCAAGCAATAATAAACATTTCAAGGTATCACATGATATCCATGGTGATCCTTATAAATGACACATTGTTGCTTAAATGACACTATATGAACAAGACAACCAAAGACAGTTGTCAACAATGACACGGCTACACACTAGGGAGGTTTGTTAATATCAGGCCCGTAGCCAAGGGGGTTTGAGGGGTTCGTACAAACTCCTCTTTGAAAACAAAAAAGCGCTAAAGTCTATGTTGTGTTTGAACTGTCACTATTAAAGTTGAGATTTTGTTTGTCCCAAGTCGATGTAACCCCCTTTAAAATTCCTGGCTAATGGCCTGAATATACAACTTTCCTAAAATTTTCAAAATCATTGGCTGAATATGTGCAAACATCTATCAATGTCCCTTTTCTTTTGAAAATGTTTTGGCCTACTGTACACAGAAAAAATAACCAAAGCGTAAGTTGATATATCAATTATAATGCCAGTCTATATTACAGATATAGTGAGAAATGCTGGTTTTGGTAAACCTGTACAATTTCACCTTTAAGTTGGAATTTATATAAATTGTGAACATGGATTATGACAGTTTCCTGCTGTTGTCCTACACTGGATTTTCTTACTTATTATTCAGGTGTTTGGTTATGTTATAAAAGCTGCAATCTGTTGTGCAAGTTTTGATTCAGATGTAGAATTTATATAATGTGAATAATTGAAATCTCATAGAAAATGGAATGGTTTGTAGTGAATAATAAGATCTGTTGTGTCAAAATAAATCATATCCTTTAACACAATTTTGATGCAAGACTTAATTTTTTCTGGTAATTTCCACAATTTGATCTTTGATTAAGTATCTGTTTAATTTATTCACAATTTTTTAGACTTGAAGCAATTAAGAGGTTGTTGAAGTCTGTTGACCTTTAGATGTCTCTTGTTTATTTGTGTTGTTGGGCTACCGTCTCATATCTTTTATGTTAAAAAAATATAATCTACGGAATCTTATTGATTGTATACATAGATGGACATGTGGTTTACGCAAGATTTATTGTTACTGAACCAGGTTAATTGAATTATTACAGGTAGATTTCACAGGTGTAAGATTTCACAGCTGTAAAATACTATATTTCTCTCAATCAGCTGATTTTTATGGTAGGTTATGAGTAATGCAGGCTGTAGGTAAATTAGTGATCAATTCTATGGTCAATATATTTCCTGATTGCTAGAATTATTTGTTATCAGTAGTAGATTGAACATTGAAGTGATTGTGGAATCTTGGGTCATTTTAATTGAAGTTTATTTTCATTTTAAAAGGATAATTTTGAAGATTACTTGGTCATTCTAACCGAATGAGATTTCTATTATGGATGACATGTTCATTTTCACTGTTAGTAGATTATCTTTCATTTTAAAAGGATTATCGTTTTGATTAGATAACAGAATAATTTAAAAGATTAATAGTGGATTTAAATAATAAAATACATGAATTTGAAAATTTTACACATCTGAATTTTCATGATTTGTATTTTCTGTTATTTTTTTTAATATGTTGGAATAAAAACTAAGTTTGGAAGATTTTATATCAAATTAAAAAGACATAATTGTGATTTTTGTGTTTTATAATCTTTGTGGATTCATGAACCTTCATTGCAATAATGACAATGATTTCAGAGATTTTACTTTTAACGCTATAACAAAATGGAAAATAATAGCTTTATTGTGATGAACAAAGAATGGAATATCTAGGACTGGATAACAAAAGTTCTTGAGCTAATCAGAAAAGACAAGAATTTCCTTTGTGTGTTTGGTAAATTAACTCTATCTGATCTGTAATGAGAGCTGTCATTCTAGACTTTCAGTGATGTCATCTTTAAAACGATGTGTCAAAATGTATGGTAATTCTGTGCATTTCTGTGAAAAAATGAAAAAATAATACATGTGTTCCAGATGGTGTGGAAGTCTGCAGATGTGTGCTTTTATATTCATGCATGTAGTTAAAAATGTTGGACTAATACAGAATTAATTGACAAATTTTTTGAAAATGTCATTTAAATCATACCGAATGTGATGTTTTATTGATATTTGAAGGGACGTTATCTTTTGACTTTGGATGTTCAGTCTTTTATCGAAAAGCCAGACAATTGAATAATTTTAAGTGTTTTGATATATACAACTTTAGACAAGATTTATAGTAATGATGCATAAGATGGAGAGCTCTTCAAATTTCTAACGTAATTTTCTTAAAAGTATATAATCATTGTGACAGCTGAGAAATGGATAAGACAATGCTATTTTGTGGATTTGTGGAGGGTGTATGGCCTTGGGATAAAAGGTAAGCTAGATTGTCATTATGTATTAAAGTAGTGAGACTGCTAATGTGTTGAGTTATGATACACCTGACATAATACATGTGCAAAATAGATGATAATGTCCTGTGCATTTGTGGCTATAAACCTTTTTGCTATCTTTATGTCTTTGAAGTGATTTGAAGGCAGTATAGGGACCTGCAGTTGTTTCCATCCTTTCCTATGGTTTTGTCTGATAGATCTCTCATCTGGAATCATATCACATCATCATTTTTTATGAATGATCTCTCATCTGGAATCATATCACATCATCATTTTTTATGAATGATCTCTCATCTGGAACCAATTCACATCATCATTTTTTGCTCACCTGGCCTGAAGGGCCAAGTGAGCTTTTCTCATCACTTGGCGTCCGGCGTCCGGCGTCGTTGTCGTCCGTCGTCGTTAGCTTTTTACAAAAATCTTCTCCTCTGAAACCACTGGGCCAAATTTAACCAAACTTGGCCACAATCATCATTAGGGTATCTAGTTTAAAAAATGTGTCCGATGACCCTGCCAACCAACCAAGATGGCCGCCATAGCTAAAAATAGAACATAGGGGTAAAATGTAGATTTTGGCTTATATCTCTGAAACCAAAGCATTTAGAGTAAATCTGAGTAAAACTGATTATCAGGTCAAGATCTATCTGCCCTGAAATTTGCAGACAAATCTGACAACCTGTTGTTGGGTTGCTGCCCCTGAATTGGTAATTTTAAGGAAATTTTGCAGTTTTTGGTTATTATCTTGAATATTATTATAGATAGAGATATACTGTAAACAGCAATAATGTTCAGCAAAGTAAGATCTACAAATAAGTTGTCATGACCAAAATTGTCAGTCGACCCCTTGAGGAGTAATTGCCCTTAATAGTCAATTTTTAACAATTTTTCGTAAATTTTTGTAATCTTTTACAAAAATCTTCTTCTCTGAAACTACTGAGACAAATTTAACCATACTTGGCCATAATCATTATTAGGGTATCTAGTTTGAAAAATTTGTCCAATGACCCCGCCTTCCAACCATCATGGCCGACTTGGTTAAAAATAGAACATAGGGGTAAAATGCAGTTTTTGGTTTATATCTCTGAAACTAAAGCATTTAGAGCAAATCTGACAGGTGGCAAAAATGTTCATCAGATTTAGATTTATCTGCCCTGAAATTTTCAGATGAATCAGACAACCCGTAGTTGGGTTGCTGCCCCTGAGTTAGTAATTTTACAAAAATTTTGCAGTTTTTTGTTATTATCTTAGATATCATTATAATATCTAATATCTAATACTATTAATTATGATTTTAACCTTATTTTACATGATTTCCAAAGCATCAGTAAATACAGGTGAGCGACACAGGCTCTTGAGAGCCTCTAGTTTATGTATAATATAAACTGATATGAAATTTAGAAATGTTTGTGACTGTGTATAAGTTCTCTCAAGAACACTTCCATTGTGTGAATTTTTTGGACTAGCAAAAATAAGTTTGGAGAATTGCTTGCTGTATAAGCCCAAGACTTAACAAATTGACTAATGATTGACTAAATTTGAAATTTTATTTAAATCTTGAAAATGAATATTGTTTTTATGATTGAAAAACTATAATAAAACTATATATTCTTTAATTTAACATAATGTAGAAATTTAGTAGATGTACTTATCAAATATGAAGTTCAAAATAGTTTTAAAAATATTTGACAGAGCTGTATTCTCTAATTGAATTATGAGTGTTTAATAGATGTAATTATTCCACTTGAAAATGAAAGAAATCTCATTATAAAGATGGCAGTAAATACTGTTTGAAGTATCTCTGGTTTATAAATGTTTTGATTATTTTTTAGCTAGTGTGGCAGAAATCTTTCATTTCCAGATCTGATGAGCGGTAAATGGGGCGTTAAATATCTGATTTTTATGAAATCTGGTCTGACATAGGATTATGGCATAATTTGTTAGAAGTAGTAAAGAGGAAAAATAAGGTTGTTATTAAAGATGTTTCAACAAGAGTATGAAATGGGGGCTTTTTTGGAGGTAGTGGTTTCTGAAGTGTAGGGAGGAGAGACACAAAGAAGCATTAACTTTGTATCAGTACTTTATCATCTTGGTCTAATGTTAATTGGTAACTACAGGAAACCAATGTCTTTGATATTGTAAACGGATTCTGATTGCTGTCTCGTTGACAAATCCCCCACATCTTGTTTTATTCATATCAGGTTCTAAACAGAGTCATGTAGCAACATATCAGTAGTGTGGCAGGAACTCTTATGACAATAACAGTAAAAATGGAAAGATATCTGTACAACATCTAAATCCTTCTGACAGGAAGAAAAACATGGGATTCATATATGGTGATGACTTTACAGGGCTGGATACACACAGATACAAACCTTATGAAATAGTGATCAAGTAGTTTATAAATACCTGATTTTTATTCAATCAAAAACATCAGAAAAAAAAATAGGTGTACAAAACCACAACCTTTCCCTTGGAATTATTGCATGGCTGTTATACAAAGGGGGGGCGGGGGAATGAAGTGAATAACAAATGATCCCTTATTTTACCTCAATGTTCAAAATGTTTGTTCAAATCACTTTTAACAACTTACTATCAAATTATAGAAATATACATGGACCAATTTACTTATGATCTTTACATAATGGTGATTATGGCAGATTTTCAAAAATTATGCAATTTTGAATGGTTAATATGCACAGTTGCCAGGTTTTAATGCCAATTGTTTAGTAAAACCAAGTGATTCAAGGAGAAGTGCCTCTTTATAACTGTTCTTAATTTGTACAACAGAAAAAAGGATACAAAACAAGGTCAAACTTTAATACTATCAAGCAATATGCAAGTTACTTTTGAAAGACTTTATTTCTAAATAATGTGTACCTCAAGTGGAATGATACTTTGGAACTTTATGATATCCATTTTGTACTTTGAAGACTAGAAGAATCTTTTTGGAAAGCCATCAAACAATCCATTTTGTATTTTAAGTAGAAAGTAACTCTAGGAAGATCACTTGGATATATTGTAGATATGATTTATAAGTTTAATTGCATGTTTCTTATTTTAGGACAATAACTTGTGTATAAGTGTATGAATTTCTATGAAATTGTACCACAAGGTTCCATACCTCAAAAGGAAGGTTGGGATTGATTTTGGGGGTTATGGCCCAAAGCGTTTAGGAATTAGGAGCCATTTTTGTTGTTGTAAATTTATGAAGTGAAATCCCTTCAAAAAAAATTAGCTTATATTTTCCATTAATAGATAAATTCAATTCTTGGGTGTACTTGGATATGCTGAATCAAACCGTGTATTTAGAATTTGAATATTTGACCATAATAGGTAAAAGTCCATGAGTTTCAAATTTTTCATTTCTTTGACCACATTCATTTTGTGTCAAATATTTTAAAATAACAATCCAAATTCAGAGCTGCATCAAGCTTGAAAGTAGTGTCCATACTTGCCCCAATTGTTCAGTGTTTGACCTCTGCGTGCGTATCAAGCCGTGCCCAGCATGTTATTTATTTATATACTAGTATTTAGAAATCTGATCGGGCCATTGCATTTCTTGTTTTACATTTTGTCATGTGGGGTACTTTTACAGGTCACTATGCTGTATGAGTTTTACTTATTGTTGAAGGCCGTACAGTGACCTTTAGTTGCTAAAATCAACGTCATTTGGTCTCTGGTGGATAGCTGTCTCATTGGCAATCATACCACATCTACTTATTTTATATAGGGGACTTCTTTAATACCAGTCTCTAAACAAGTATCAGGTTAAACATATAAAATTTTCATAAGTAAAATATTACTTTAGTCTAAAGCAATACAAGAAATTAATACTTAATCTGACCAGTCAATCTGTCTATTTCTTGAGGCCTGTCAGTCACAAAGAGTTTCCAAATGCTATAAAATTTGATGTGTATGATGACAAGTAAAATAAGTAAGTTACAACAATGTAACAACAGATGACATCTGTAGGTTTGACATTTGCTTGAATATTGAAAGGTTATTTGTACATTTATATGAAATAATTGACCAAGGTTAATACTTCAGCTGTGACATTTGATTAAAAGCAAGGTCACTGACAGTCAGTCTATTATTTATAGTATCTTTTTATGATCAGATTATGAGTTTTTTTATAACTTTTACTGCAAGTAAAGAGGAGCTGAGTTGGTTTTGTTATATGCTTAATGCATGGTTAAATATTGTCTCAGGATAAAACACAAGTTATTGCTATCATGTTTGAGCTAAAATATTGCGAATATCTGTATTCTTGTTAATTTTCATAAATGTTTTATGACATCTCCTGCCAAATTTAACTAATCAATAGTGGTGTGAACAACTTCTCAATGAAATCAATATATATTTTATACATTAATGTGTGCTATATTATTTAGAACTGTGGAGAATATTTCTGTATGTAAATGTACACTATATATATATATGCTAATTTCTTAATATATATTCAGTTCTAAGAATGAACTTAAAAGGCAACTACATAAGCAGTAAATCAATTAACAACAGTACATTGAATCTTAAGAATTGTAATAAAAGTAAACTCTCCAAAAGATGTCCCAACACCTTCATGTAAATTTTCAACTTTCAGAGTTGAAATCACTGAAATATTTAACAGATCAATTGGTTTTTTTGTCTCTGCAGGACCACTAATTAATATACTTAATTGCTGATTAAAGAATACCGGTAATGTTTTATCAATGTAAGGTTAATCTCCTGAAAGTTTCTAATTAAAACAATAAAAACCAATAAAATAGCTTTTACAAAGAAATTGAAAATGAGCAGCAACAAACTTGAAGGTGTAAATAGTGAAACCTTAATGTCCACTCTGTGCACATGTCCATGTAAGCTATACGTCCATAGCCAGTTTTCAGAAAGTATTAAGCATCCAGGAATAATGTACAGATGTATTTTTGAGTGATAATTTTGACCTATATTATACACTTCATTGGTTCATAAAATGTTAAACAAGTAGATTTCAGGAATACTAATTGACCAATCTGTAAGTCATTTCATTTTGAAGTTGAAGGTGTAATAGTGAAACCTTAATGTCAAATCTGTGCAAATGTCCATGTAAGCGAAGTCCATAGCCAGTTTTCAGAAAGTATGAAGCATCCAGGAATGATGTACAGATGTATTTTTGAGTGATAATTTTGACTAAATTTCAGGAATACTACTGGTAATTGACCAATCTGTCAGTCGTTTCACTTTGAAGTTGAATCTTACCTCTACATCTCTTTTTCGTCTTGAATATTCATGAAATACTTGCCACTGGATGTTACACAAACAATTTTAAATCTATTATTGTTTAAATTATTATAGATGTATCATGCTAGATGCAGAAGAAATAATTTTATTTAGTAATGATTTAGTTATCTGGCAGATTGACATATACCCCACATTTAGGTATACCCCGCAATAAGATATACCCTGCATTTAGGTATACCCTGCATTTAGATATACTCCACATTTAGATATACCTCACATTTAGGTATTCCCCACATTTAGGTATACCCCACATTAAGGTATGCCCCACATTTAGGTAAACCCAGTATTTAGGTAAACCCAGTATTTAGAGTTAATGAGACACATGGAAAAACAATAGGATATCATTCAAAGTTTTAGGAAACTTTAATAAGAACCTCTTATAATTTATAAACTGATGAATCATAGAAATAATGTGTTGTTTTTGATTTTATATAAATAAATAAACATTAAAAATGAAGTCCTCACACAAATGTGACAAATTTCTCATTAACATAAGAGTAACACTTCATACAAGTACTTTGTCACCATTTATTTGTAACCTTTGAGAAAGACGTGAATATCTCATTAAGTTAAAAGAAAAAAAAAAATTAACTATATCTAAATCAGGGGGTGTACATTTTTTAGACCTAGTCAGTGAAAGACGTCTTGTATGACTACATGCTTTACAAGAATTGTCAACAGCCCAAAGGCTTAGGTGCAGTTTTTTTGGATTTTGGCCTCAAACAGTGTGCCATAGTTTCAAAGGAAGTAAGTTCATTATTTTATCACAGAAAATAAACTCCTGCAACAAGTCTAAGCTATTTATTTGTGACATTCAGCAAAATTAAATGATCAAAGGAATGAAATTTTACTAACAAAAATGGGGCATTTTTTGATGGGATGGTTTGAACTCTTTGTACTGACACAGTCTCAAGGCAAGGAAATGAGAAGTCCAGAAAGGTTCCAACATGAAGACATACAACTACATGTACTTTAAGTGTTTTCAGAAGATAAGAGTCATTTCGGCCAAGTTCAGTAAAAAATTGTTAAAAATTGGAATTTTTGCCTTTGGACCAAAATGGCCTTTCAATGACTACTTAGGTATTGTACAAAATAATATTTTCTTTCAATGGTAGCTCTAAGGGAATAAAGCAGGATTTTTTTAACAAGTAGCAATTGCTTTAATTCACTTTTGCTGTAACAATTTACTAAGCTTTATTTACTTAGTATACCTTGGGTTAATTCACCTAACAGTTTAAGGGCTCAAGGACCACTCTCCGGGCAGGACACTAATATTGTACCGTCCAACATCCCATTGACCTGAGGGTCACTAAATAGGTCATAGAAAAGGCAAAAACAACAGTTTATATGGTATCCACCTTTTGGGGCATGATCGTACCTACACATCTGTTAGTTAGTACTGGTTCCAGAAAAACCAAAGGACAATGACAACCAATGGAATTAATGTTCCTGGCTAGGAACAGGTACATGTGGCTTATTTATTTTTGAGCTCTTAATCTGCTATAGGGTAATCATTAAACTAAATATACTGTGTTACATAGAAATGCCATGTTTATTTAAACAGACATTTCTGGTAATAAATTTTCTACTGTCAGTGAGGAATTAAGATTTATTCGAGATAAGTAATAATTGCATGTGAAAGAAATTCTCATTTGTTTAAAAAAGAGATGAAAAATAATAGAGGAAGTTAACAAATGTGCTAGTAAAATAGTGCAATAAAAGAAATATTCTGTGATCCTTAGGTACTGTGCAATGTTATTTGTATACTATTTTACTTATATTATGCAAGAAATAATGTACTTTTGGATGGATAATACGTGAAGTTTCAGTCTAATGATATATTTTGAATATAGACTCAATATTGATGTATTTAGATTTTAGACCCAGGATGTTCCAGCAGTGGACAATTTTTTTGGCTAGAATATGTATTTGCTTAAAAGGTTAGAAAATTGGTCTGAAAAAAACAGATGTATTATAATTAGGTTTTTAAATATGTATGGAGGAGGACTATGCCCCCCTTTAAAGAATATAATTTATATATGATGTGGATATTTTTTTAAGTTATTACAACTTTGATCTTTATTTTTTTGTGATATCTAGGTGGACTAAAGGCACTCGTCCAAGCTTAAGGCAGATCCACACAAGGATGTCTGCAGCATACTTCCACAGGGGAATCTCCAGACTTCGTGCTGAAGAGCTCCTTCAGCAGGCAAAGGATGATGGGAGTTTTCTTGTGAGAGACAGTGAGACTTTGTCAGGAGCATATGTGCTCTGTTTGCTGTAAGATATTTTGAGTTATTCTCACTTCCTTTATGCAGGGGGTTATTACTGTATATTGGTATCGTCAGACATTAATTGGAGATTTGGTTTTATAAATATTATATTACTTGTGGTCAATAATGGGTTCTGCAGCATTATAATCATTGATAGATGTTGGCAATTATAAAAATTGATGTTATTCGTGTGACACCATGTAGATTAATGTGAATTTTGGATACTATAAAGGTTATAAATTAGAGTTACATGCATTGCACAAGCCCAAAACAATTTACATTTTCTTCTGACATCTTTAAAACCTTGGATTTGCAATTCTAAGACTTGTTTCAATGCTAAGAAAATGGAAGCATACAATGACATACCAATGACATAAAATATTGATGTCTCCCTGTTTTATGCGTATCTTGAATAATAAACTTCTTTTCCTGAATACTATTGACTTTTTGTTGCTAAAATATTTAAAGATAAATTTCTCTGCTTTGATAAAGAAATCATGTAATATCATACATTTTGAACATAATGAATTTTTAAACAGCATCACTAAGACTCCAGTTTATCAGCTGAAAGTTGTTCAACATAATAAAAGACCATAATGAGACAAATATTGTCCATCACATTTCCATGATATAGAACCAAAATTCACCAACAATTTTTTACACTTTTCAACAGCATAATACTATTGAGTGATGTGCAGGATAACCCAATCAATCAGAAAAGAAACTGCTTTTAAAAATCACACCACCTCCTATTTTACTACGCGTAGACATATTTTGACATTTTGAGGAAAAGTAAGACATTGAGTCTGTGAAAGACAACGGACTACAATTGGATTTTACAGCAAGATCTCAGACGAACCTTTATTAATATGGTTTAGCTGAAATTATAAGACTTAACATATATAATTTTTAAGTAGAGATATATATTATATGTATTGAAAAAAGAAGGTGCAGTAATTAATCCCAACCTAAAGAAAGTCAGACAACACAATGGTCAAAAAGAATGATAGAGAAAAGAAGTCCATAAGGCTTCACAGGGAAAACAAAAGGTTGAGCAACTCAAACCCCTGTAAAAACTGTACTTATTTAGGTTAGGATTTAAAGTGGATATGTAAAAAAAGCAAACAAACAGAAAAAAACAAACACTAAATAAAATAAAACAGGTGAAAAAGTTTCAAATATTTCTATAATCAATCTGAGTATATCTATGTAAATACAGAAAAATCAGGCATTGAAACACAGGCAACTGACATTCATCTAAAGGTATTTGACCTAATGTCCACTGAAGTAAAACCAAAATACATTTTTGTACAATTATCAAACAGAATGTCTGGAATATTACTGAAAGCACTTTTGGTTTGAGATAGGAATGAGGATAGATAGGGAGAGGAAGCAAGATTATATCAAATGACCTTAATTGAGGATGGTAGGGTCATTGGTTGTAGAGACTATTATCATATACATGTATAGGAGAGAGTTGATAGAGATTGAAATCAAATAGTTAATGTAGCTTTTTATCATTTGGTAAAGTGCTTTTGGCAAAAGTTATGATTTCACACGGATCAGTTAATGATCACCTATAGTTCATTTATCTTTCCACTAGACCACATGCACATCAGCAATATTGAAACATAATGAAGTTATGTCATATACTAGAAGAAGGTCATTGCATGAAGATTCCAGGAAACATTAGACTTGGGTGTTTTTATAAATTAATAATTTACAGCAGATTTCAGAGTATCCATATCTTGAATAGAGTGCATAGACTTCAGGAATCCTGATCACTCCTAATTTTGAAAATGTAGGTTAAGGTCCGCCTTAGATTTCAGGAAGATACATCAAAATAGATTTTATGACAAAATCCTTGTCTTAGTAATCTAGTACCACAATCTACAAGAAAAAATATATAATTGTATAAACATCTAAAGTTTGAATCAAATGTTAAATTAGAAATCAGTTATATTTTGAACTTTTCTGACATATAAAGTTTGTGATGAAATAATAGTTATCATAGTGATGATGATTGAACACAGCAAGATCAAAACGTACAAGATATAAAACTTTTAGATCTTTAATGAACCACTTGATTTATTTTGCACTGGTGCATATTTATCAGGTGCATATAACTGCAAATCTGTAAAACTAATATAAATATCAAATTAGAGGAGTCTAACTGTTGTGAAATGTAAAATAATGCATTGATTTTTTTAAATACTGTAAATTCAGAAATTTTTGCTTGCATTTATTATTGTGATTGTTCAACAAAGGATGAAAACGAGAGATTGATTATAGCAGTTTTGGAAATGTTTTATATAATGCTATCAAAATTTAAAATAAGAATTTTTATTTTAACAAATACCAATCCTTAGCTAAAATAAAAGTGTCACTAAAATATGCGAATTTACAGAAGCAGCAAGCAATACCTCATATCCCACCTTTTAACACAATGTCCTCAATCTGATTAGAATATAAAGAAAAGATGGTACAGAAATAATTTGACATTAGCCTTAGTAGTACACAGCTCTTAACTTTCAGTAGAGTTAAATTTACTGACTACTAGAATTTTGTAGTGTAAATACTATATTGATTGAATTGTAACATGGATTTTGTCAAAGTCAGCAATTTTCCCTGTTGCTCTACATCAGAAATGGGTAACCATCATTAACCAAGTCTAGAATATCAACTTTGTATATATAAATATATATTGTTTATAATGATTGATCTTTTTATTTATAAGATGCAGGTAGTCATGCCAAAAATTTGCTTTATCAGCATTTTTTTATTGAAAGTGAGATTATAATACAGAATAAATGAATTATAGATATTATACAGAATAAATGAATTATAGATATGTTTATTTATTATATTAGCATAGATGTATAAACCCATCTATGATATTAGTAATATCATAACTAAATTAGATGATTCTTTATAAAGTTTTTATGAAAGAGTTTATATTCAGTCATTCATTTATCTGTGTAATATTTAGAAAAGGTAACTTCAGTACAAGGTACTATTGAACATGTGCTTAACCAGCATCCCAAACATATTAAAAAATAGGTAACTCCTGCTGTTTAAAACTTTTAAATTTATTACCACTTTATGTAATGATCCCATAAATTTGCACCTGATATTTGATAATACATATGTAATACAGGTGTTTGAATTGTTTTCTAGCCAAAGTATTAGTTTAAACATATCTTTCAACTTATGTCTGGCATTAAAGTCTAGTTTCATTTTGCAAGCATTATCAGCTGTTCTAACTTTCATTTTATCAACACCTGCCTAGGACACTGTCAGTGGAACATCATTTATCATGGTTCTTCACTCATCTAAGTAGTTTACTTTGAAAAGATGTAATGTGGATTACTGTAGACAAAATCTTGAGAATTGCAATTTTTAAAAGGTCTGATTCATCAGATATGATGACATTTTTTAAGTTGAAAATAGAGAAGGATGGCACTATTGGAGGTCATTCAGGAAGAAAAGTAAAAAAAAAGAGTCCAATTGATAGAACTTATTAAGTGCCAGTCTTTGTAAGAATCAGGCAATTTAGAATTGAATATTGTGTCCAAACGCCTCAACTGTTCAGGGTTAAACCTCTGCGGTTGTATCTGGCTGCGCTCAGCGAAGCATTTTATTGAAGTTGCCCTCATTCTGAGTTAGAAATGGGAAGTCTTTTGTTTCTGCGTGTCTGGTAATTCGAGAAATCTCTAGATAACTTGGTTAGAATGATAGCAAATTACAGAGTTAGCTCCCCTTAATTGTTAATTTCTAGTGCATTTCAACCAAATTATATCTAAATTACCAGAACAGGAAAAGGAAACAAATATTATATTTGTGTACCATCATACAGTTTGAACATAAATTAATGTCAACTTGAGTGGGTTTTTGTTTGTCATGTTTTCACCACTGGCTGATTTTTAGGCAGATTGGCACTTAACTCCCTATTACTTTTAACTAGAGTCTAAACCTGATTTGTGTAATTTGTTCATTTGTAGCAAAAAACAAAGATATTCATCAAACCACAAGCTAGCCCTTTAATGATAAGACAACATTTTCAACAGCTTTTGACTTGATTTGATTTTTGGTGTTTTAACGCCGATTTTAAGCACCGCTTTTGGGCTATTTCGTGGCGGCCAGTTTTTATTGGTGGAGGAAGCCAGAGTGCCCGGAGAAAACCACGACCTTCGATAGGAAAACTGACAATCCTAGTCAATTAAGATTGGAGTCGAGTGCACCCGCACGAGCGGGTTCGAACTCACAACCTCAGTGTTGACTGGCTAGTGATTACAGTAGTAACTGCTTAGACCACTTGGCCACAGAGGCCCCCTCAACAGCTTTTGCCTTTTCTGCTTGTTATTTTATATGCAAGAAATGTTTTTGGGTGTTTGTGTCAAACCAAAACCATGCAACAATAATCATGCTGTTTGGAATATAGGTAAAACAATCATCTCTAGCATGCCTACAGTTTTTTTTAAGAAACACCTTTAAATAAATAATATTATTGATATAGCAGGTCCTGATTTCTTATTTTCTGCTATGCTTTATGGATACATTTTTCGTACTTAAAACATCACCTGTTTAATGTTTTAATTGATTTGTTTACCAGGCACCAGAACAGAGTCCACCAGTACAGAATTCTACCTGGGAGAGATGGAAAGCTGTCAGTACAGGTATTGCATACAGTTCAAATAATTCTTAACTAATCAAATATTAATTAATATTTAGAATAAATTGAGATATGGAGGAATCTTGCATATGTTCTCAGAAAAAATTCAGAATAATAAAAATGAAATGATCTTTGAGAAGCGATTGGATATTGTTTTCTTTGTGTTGACTGACAACAATGTCTGTACCATACTAGATAGCCAGTTGTTATGATTTACTGTTTATGTACTAAGTCCACACTAAATAAAACAGAAATAGTAACATGATTGCACATAAAACATGACAATTGAGGTCAATGGATACAAATAAATATGTCACTTGAGGTAAATGGATACACATAACACTTGAGGTAAATGGATACACACCAATAACATGACACTTATGGTAAACAGATGCACATAAATATGACTCTTGCGGTAAATGGATACACATACAAAGTGACACTTGAGGTAAATGGATACACATAAAACATGACACTTGAGGTAAATGGATACACATAAAACATGACACTTGAGGTAAATGGATACACATAGCGTATAACACTTGAGGAAAAAATGGATACACATAAAATCATGAGAGGACCATGTAAGCCAAAACTGTGAAAGTGTGAAAATGCTTTATTTGAATGAGAGAAACTGTATCTTTAAGTGTTATATTGCTAAATGATCTGATATAAAATGGTAGTCAAAATGTGTCTTTTAAATCATATTAGTTCAAAAGCAAAGGGCTAAAAGTTCCCCCTTTTTAAATTTAAAAATTAAGTCTGAAATGACAAGTTTTATTATTTGATTTTGTAGACAGAAGGTGCTAAACAAGAGTCTTCATACAATGATCTGAATGCTTTAATTGGTGATTATATGACAAAGAAGATGAAAAATGGTTTAATATTTGCCATGAAGTTTCCAGTATCTCCTGAAAGAGAGGAAGAACAAGATTCTGGTATATATCTGATGACAATTTAATATATGTTCTCTTCTTAGTAGTTGACTTATGCTGATATTTTTAGACATTCTCTTTCAGCAGCAATGTTAGGTTTTTTTTAGTCCATCAAATGTTTCTGGTCAATTTGTCACTTTGAGTTTAGTGGATCTCTTCAGAATCTATCCTATCTGTTTAAAGTAGACTCCCTTAACTTAATGAGATGAAAACCAATGTACTAAGTAAAAGCTTTTCATTACCTTGTTTGGAATACAGGATTAATAGGTTTAGAATTGAAAACATGAATATTGCCCATATAAGATAAGTCATCTTACAAAGGGTAGACATTTCTTGCCATATTAGCTCTAAATAGATATTTACGATAATGATAATAATATTACAGCAAGATAGGAAGTATTACATTAGAAGATTATTTTTCAGATGAAGAGGACCAAGAAGAATCCAGATTGATTCCAATGAGTCCAAGCTCCACTTCAGTGAGTTGTAGTGAGTCTTTGGATAACTTCCAAGAGAGGGTATATACTGAACTTCTACAAAACTATTCCAAGTTAGATCTCAGCAGGTAATTTTATTTCCTTCAACCAGAGTAACTGGTGAAATATAGTATAAAACTAGTGCAGTTTAACAAAATTGTTCTTATCTTCTAATTTTAATGAATGACCTCTTGTCTAGAAGTTTTGAAAAATTTGACAAGTCAAGCACACTAGTTTAAGAAATGTTTCATCTGGATATAAAACTATCATAATGACATTTTAGAAATAATTATGCCCCCACTCCAATGGAGGGATATACTATTTCACCTCTGCCTGTCCATCTGTTTGTACATCTGTCTGTCTGCAACACATTTCTGTTGCATTTATCTCCACAACTACAAGCATAGCAGCCTTTTAATTAAGTCACAAAAGTTTCATCTGGTTATGCCTGACAGCATGACACATTTTCAGTTCAGTTTCAATTGATGTTCAAAATCCTGTTTCCCAGAAATAATATCTTCAACAGTAGCGCAAATATAATGAAATTTTAGTGACATTTTTCTCATCAACTACAAGTAACACTTACACTTTACAGTACGTCTTCGTTTGATCTCGTTTGTTCTAAACAATCTTTCAGTTGTTTCTTAACTATTGTTACAGATTTTAAAAAGATGTATAGTTGATTTTGCTGCAACAAAATTTACCTTCAATGCCAGTTATTTTGTTATTGCTGTAGAACAAATATTTCGATTAAAAAATTTATAATATCTTTTTTGTTTGAAAACAAAGCAACTATTTATTGCTCTTTAAACTAATGTTCTAGAGTGCCTGAAAAAACAATGCTTAAGCTTACCATTTATCTCACGATGATATTTTTATTTCAGTACACTTTCTCTTACTAATGATTGATTGTTGGTTGCTTAACGTCCAGTGTCTTACTAATGATTATTCTCAAGCTAAAATTCATTACCATTTGATCAGATTGAAGCAACGAATTCAAACTGCAAATTGAAAGAGTGATTGGACCAATTGCAATTCCGAAAGACAAAAACCTCTTGGATAAACACAGTGAAAAAAACATAGTAAAATCTGTTATTGCATTTAGATAATAAGGCTTAAATGTTAACATGTAAAACATACTGTTTCCCAGTGGATAAATAAAGTTGTTCATGGATAAAGTAGAATGAAGATTAGATTATATATGTATATTTTACAGCTGTGATGATAACCTTAAAAATTCAATGAAGAAGTATATAGAAAATGGCTTTAAGAAGGATATCAGTACATCAGAAACGTCTTCACTCCCAGAATTCCAGAGTATGATGGAGTTAGCTGCACTTAATCTAAACAGGTTCATCTTTATATTCAGAATTTATTTAGTATCTTAGAAACTTAGAAACTTATAAGAAATGTTTAATTTGTCACAATGTTAGGATCCTAAAATTGAAAATTCTGTATGCATATTATGCAAAATAATACAATTATTGGTCAACTTCCAAAGAAGATCTGTTGGTTTGAATATTTATTTAATGAAAATACATGTAAGTGTTGCATTTCTGTTGACACTCAATATATTTATTTTATTATACTAAAAAACGGTAGACAAATTCCAAATTGTAGACTTGCTACATTTCAGTATATGGTGTATTTAAATACTGAGGTATACCACTAATGATAATAATAAATAAGCTTTATTTAGAGGTGGCATATTACACATAAACAATGACACAACATTAGCTTTATTGAGCTTTTCACTGAAAAATTAAATGTAAGCTCTCATTTGTATATTTTTCATGTGAAAATATTATAAAATGACATTTGAATCTTTCTTAATCTTTTTTGACAGAGAACTTGACTTGTACAGAAAGAAGCTGATGCTTTTCAACAATTTATTTGACTTAGCTTCTATCAAGAGAAGAGGGAGTCTAGCTTTAAGACAAAACTCAGTAGAGGTAATTATATCTAAAACCAATTGAAGAAAATCAATAATATAATTGCCTATTTTTTGTATTCTTATTATTGATTTTATAGCACTTAAGAAGTTATGGTATGGTGTAAATTTTGTGACAGTAAAGTGAAAATCTTTATTCCCCCCCTGCATACACAAATCAAAAACTTATATTGTTGGATTGGTGTCTCATTTATGTTTTCCCCACATCCTTTTTCTCATTCTGAAAGATGGCAAAACATATATATTGCAATAGATGAAATCGGAACACTTTTTTTTGTTGTACTTTATTTTAGTCAATCTGAACTAGCCATGTCTAAATCCTGTGTTCTATTGAAAGTTTACAGCCGATACTAACAAAGTTTAAAGTTTGGGACAACATTCCACAAATACTATTACAGGTAAAAATTATGATTTTTCTTGCAGGTCACCACTTCAGACATTCCGTCCATGATAGACAAGATGAGTCAATGTAGAGATGATATCTTAACTATAGAGAATAAGGTAATTATTGTAAATGAAGATTAGTGGACTGTCCTTTTAGGGTCTGTACCGTTATTTTATTAACTTCTCTACCATCTGTTTTTATGATGTTTCTCTCTACTCTACATGATTTATGAAAATATATTTTTGTCTTGCCATCTGTTACAAAAACATGAACAATGATACAATAAAATTTCCATGCCAGTTAATAAAGGAGAAGGTCCAGTAAGGGCTAGTTTTGGCCTAAAATTCGAAGTACATCTGATGAAAGATTTTTGACATTTTTTAAACACTTTAGTGTCTATTTCAGTTGATTCAATTAGTTTATGTAAAGGATTTGAACTGATTTGGTAATTAAAGACGCTCAAATTCAAGCTTAACTATGAAAAATCTATCAAATATGCCATAAAACATCCCTTTTCAGACGGTTTTTGTCTAAAATGTAAGTGGCCACATTCGTGTTCAGTCTCAACCTTTATATATGTTATGTATAATCATCAACTACAACATATATTTGAATTTTAAGACTGAACACAAATGCGGCCACTTCCATTTTAGACAAAAAACGTCTTAAAATTAGCACAAATGCTAAAATTCTGAAGCTTTCAGTAATTTTGCATGAATTTATGATGCTAGTACCTGATGCATGTGCATTGTATTGTCAAAAACAGCCAATATTTATGGAACAAAAGCATTCTACTGTTCAATAATTAGACAATATACGTATAGTGTCTTGAAATATGAAATTTATTTGTATGAGGCTAAGAAACGGGGGGAAATGCGAGGTTTACCGAGCATTTCCCCCTGTTTCGTGCCGAATACAAATAAATTTCATATTTCAAGACACTATACGTATATTGTCTTTATACTGCAATCGATAAAAAACGTAAAAAATAAAATAAAATACGTAACAAATTTATTGTTAAAAAAAAGTGTTTGGAATTTCCCTCTTGGGGTACCATTGTTGGGTATTTCCCTATAAGCGTAGTAATTCATAAAGTCCAGGCGATAAGACATTGACATTTTTAGGAATTAGAAAGAGAAAATAAACTAATTTAATAGTATTTAATAAATATGGTATGTAAATTACGAATTTCAAGACATAACAAGTTTAAATTTACAAAAGTTTGACAATGTTGTTACTACACGTTGTCATGGTTGTGACGTGACGTTGTTGATGAAATACAGTAGTTCCGGTAAGTAGGCGTGGCTAATAGGTTAGTTGAGGTCATTGACGTATAAAGCTAACGTTTATACGTATAGCTTTATCTGTATAGTAAAATAGCTGATTGCAGTATAAATATCTAAAAGTGTACATTTCAACAAATTTGTAAAAATGCTATATTTTGGGGCCAAAAAGGGGTCTTACCAGGCCTACTCCTTTGCCAGAGTTATTACTGTTCATGATTTATTGTTCCTTATTGGGATTCTACACAAGAATTTATGATTTATAAAATGCATACTTATTTATAAGTTGTCTTGTATTTTGTACAGGATTTTAATTTAATTTGACCATTATTCATTACAATATTCAGATTATTTTTCTGTTTTTCTGTCATGGTATAAAGGAGTAGGTCCGATAAGGCCCTAAAGTAGACCCTATTTCCGGTTTAAATTTCAAATTAGGATTTATTTACCAATATCACAACGAATCATACCTAATACAATGACTAAATAGGTAATATGTCTGTTTGTTAAAAAATTACATACTTGCATAATTTTTTGGACAGGAAACATAGAGCGCATACCTTGACAATTTTTTTAACATAATGTTTGTTATGACATTTGACATATCTAACTTGAATATTTAGTTTGTTGATGCCTGCGCTCTATGTTTCCTAGGCCTGAATTTGGTTGAAATCAGGAGGATTTTTTCAAATTCCCAAAAATCCTATTTTTGACCTTTTTGGGATGTAAAAACGAATCAACGCTTAAAATTAAAACCTTAACAAAAAAAGTTCTAATTAATTTTCTCACAGGTCTTTTCGTCAACTTAAAACATTTTTTATCTTGAAACTTTGAAGTTAATAATTGGGGCCAAATATGACCCTTACCGAACTTACTCCTTTCCTAGAGTAGTCTTCTAGAGGTTATGTAGATTCTGTGACAGATTTTTATGAACATCTGTTTTGATATCTTGAATAATTTAGTACACATCTTTTTTTTTTTTATTTTAGAAAATTGAATACCATATAGTGCAGATTCTATACATATGTTAGTAAATGTACAAAATATTGTGTATTTGATTTAAGTGTAGAAAATATGTCTTTGTATTCTAATTCTTAAGGTTTCGGTACACTGAAAGGCAAAAGTTTTGAAAAAAGCCTCCCTCATGTGAATTGTTGAGAGCAAGAAACCTTTTTAGCTCATCTTTCCAAAGGAAATGTGAGCTTTTGCCATCACTTGGCGTCTGTCGTCGTCTGTCATCATCCATCATCGTCTGTCCCGTGTAAACTATTTCAAACATCTTCTCCTCTGAAACAACTGAACCAATTCCAACCAAACTTAAGCTGAATGATCCTTAGGGTATCTAGAATAAAGTTTGTGTTTTATTTTCTGTTTCGTCAAAAAACATGGCTGCAATGGCTAAAAATAGAACATAGGGGTAAAATGCAGTTTTGGCTTATATCTCAAAAACTAAAGCATTTAGAACAAATCTGACGTAGGGTAAAAATGTTCATTAGGTCAAGTTCTATCAGCCCTGAAATTTTCAGATGAATCTTAACAACTCATTGTTGGGTTGCTGCCACTAAATTGGTAATTTTAAGGAAATTTTGCTGTTTTCCGTTATTATCTTGAATATTATTAAAGAGAAAGATCAACTGTAAACAGCAAAAATGTTCAGCAAAGTAAGATCTACAAATAAGTTTGATGACCAAAATTTTCAATTGACCCCTTAAGGAGTTATTGTCCTTTAAGGACAATTTTACACAATTTGTTTATCATGTTTTCTAACTTTAAAAAATCTTCTCCTCTGAAACTACTGAACCAAATTAAACCAAACTTTGGATATTGCGGACTAATGTATGTAAGTTACAGATTTGGATCTGCCTGTCTTTTTGCTTTCATCTTGCTCTGACCTCGATGGTGTTGCTGGTACAGAGTGTTTGGTCGTTCTGACAGTATGGCAGCTTCTATAGCCTCTTTGGATTGATGATTCAAGGGCGACGTATGCGGTGGTGTGGTTAGTAGGTCAGGGTCATTATTAGGTTATCTAGAATAAAGTTTGTGTTTTATTTTTTGTTTCCTCAGAAAGCATGGCCGCCATGGCTAAAAATAGAACATAGGGTAAAATGCAGTTTTTTATTTACATCTCAAAAACTAAAGCATTTAGAGCAAATCAGACAAGATGTTAAAGTATTCATTAGGTCAAGGTCTACCTGCCCTGAAATTATCAGGGAAATCGGGTATCTGATTTTTAGGTTATTGCCCCTGAATTGTTGATTTGAAGGAAATCTTGCAGTTTTCGGTTATTATGTTGAATATTATTATAGATAAAGATAAACTGTAAACAGCAAAAATGTTCAGCAAAGTAAGATCTACAAATAAGTTTTTATATGACCAAAATTGTCAATTGACCCCTTAAGGAGTTATTGTCCTTTAAAGACAATTTTTCACAATTTGTTCATGTAGTTTGCTTACTTTAAAAAATCTTCTCCTTTGAAACTACTGAATCAATTTCAGCCAAACTTGGGCTGAATGAGTTTCAGAATATCTAGTATAAATTTTGTATTTTATTTCCTTGTACGTTGTTGTAAATGTGTGTATTGGTTATTTCCAAGTAAAGAAATATTGTTATTATTGTATTAAGAGAGTTTATATGAGTTGTCAGAATTTATTTCTAGTATTTCTAGTATATTGAATGAGTAATTAACGTACGTTTTACTTTATGTTATTAGATGTATCGATAACGTCATATATGGCGCAAATTTGTCATGTATTATTCAGAACGTTACCGTTGGGTAAATATTGTAATCGTGAACCCAAAAGTGTTCATTTGTGAGCTCTCAACTGGAAGAAATAATATGTCTTGATTGTTTTAGTAACAAAAGTGTATTATTATAAGCATTTTGAGTCGAGGACTTGTATATTTTATGTCAGCGTTTGACGTTATGTTTTTCTTCCTGCTTAGAATATTTACTTCCGGGAATTTCAAATAAATACCTGTGCAACGTCACGTTCATCAGTCTTTGCTGTGTTTACATTTGGCTTGCAGCAAGGCTCAGCCAGGGGGTTCCTAGAGGTGAGAAGCAGCACATTTAGCTGTATGCCTCGCAGTTTATATTACAAGTAAGGGTCGTAGTTTAGAGCTAAGAAGCAGCGCAGATAGCTGTATGCCTTGCATTTATTTACGTTGTCATTGTAGAATTTATTAAGATAATCCCGTTTGGTCCGTACAAAAATACAAGAGAAAGAATGTTATTTTAGTAGCTCCGCCCCGTATGTTAATATTATATTGCTGTTAGAATATTGTACATGTATGGAAATATATCGACTGTTCCTGAAGTTTAATAAACGTATCATTTTTACTATTGATTATTTATTCACGCTACCAATGATGAGAGAGAACAGACAACAGATTTGACGGCCGTATTTATTATCCCTTAGTTTAGTCACAAGTTTTGTGAGTTTATTCGTATTTGCTGGCTTTAAAACTATACAAAAACATAGCAAAAAGCAGAAATTACAACATACGTCAAGAAACATAGCCACTATGGCTAAAATGGAACATAGGGGTAAAATGCATTTTTTTGCTTTTGAAAAAAAATATGACAGATACAAAGAACATTTAAATGGCATTTTTAAGCCACTCATTAATATATATTGAAAAGCAAAAATAATCATTGATGAAAGATTTAAGCATAAAATTACAGGTGAGCGATTCAGGCTCTTGAGAGCCTCATGTTTTTTTATAATTAATATTTATTTCAGTTTAAAATTTGACATAATAGAGAGAAGGGGACACTTGAGTATTTTTCAAGCTGCCTTTATTGAACATTTTTTCTGCTATGACAAATGCCATTTACTTTTTTTTAAATTCCTTAGGCAATTACTCTGTTATATTTAAACTGCCTTACTTACACAATTTCTGTGATACGTGGACCACCCATATTTTGGGGTGAATTGCTTTCCTTTGGTACCTCACATTTGACTGCCTCCAATACAAAATAATCTTTTTTATCAAAAGCCTTTAATGATGGCATTATTATTACATTATAGTTTATGGGCTATCTGAAGCCCGCCTCCGGGTGTGAGATTTTCTTGCTGTGTTGAAGACCCATTGGTGGCCTTGGGCTGTTTTCTGCTCTTTGGTCGGGTTGTTTGATACATTGCCCGTAATCATTCTCAGTTCTAAATTGTTATTAAACTATTACTCATGATAATGACAGAAAGTTTGTTTGTTGTAGGTACAAGAAGCATTACAATACCAACAGCCTGTTCAGTATGACTACCCTTATATAGGTGTCAACGAGGCACAGGTTTCTATACCTACTACACCATTCCTCTCCATAAATAACACAAAGATAGTTCCACAGACAAGTTTTGATGTAAGTAGATTCTGTCTCTTTTTAGACTACCCAAATATAGATGTTTAGATGAAACAAGTTTCAGTATTTACTAAACCATTTAAACAAATATGTGTTCCTACAAGCTTTGATAAAGGTCAATGAATATGAAGTTGATTAGTATATCTGTTTGAATATTATACCCCACTCAATATATTACATTAATCTTGTCTGTTTGTTTATACATCCGTTTGTCAAACAAATATTTCTGTCACATTGTTCTCTGGCACTTCTGAACAAAATCACTTCATCTTTGGTCAGAAGTTACAGTAGTGAGGTATAACATATGAGTATTTTTATAGATATGTAGACAACTACTTCCTGTTTGCCAAATCTTTGAATTTTTGTATGCTGTAGAAGACAGGATGTATTACGATGTACCAATGTCCGTCTGTCTGTCTATCAACACTTTGTATGATAACTCAAATTTGCTTCAGCCTATTCTCATATAACTTTAAAACAACATTAGAATTGATGGAAGAAATCTCCCTTTCGATTTTTTAATTTTTGGCTTTGTGACATTCAAGAGTTACAGAAATTTGACTCTTCGATTTAAGGCATTTTTTTACAAATAGTGCACTAACTTTCAGTATTCCTGAATTGATTTCCTCTAAACTTTACAATATTGTGGGAATTGATGGGAGGCTCCATTTTAATTCTTTTTTTATTTTCTGGTTTCTCAACCTAGAATTATGGTACTGTAATACTGTAAATTCAGAAATTATTGCGAGGTTTTTATTAATGCGAATAATGCGACTGGGTGACTATCGCAATAATAAGAACTCGCATTCTGATGTCTGTTACATATATCTGTATGCAGATTTTCATGATATCGCAATAATTAATCTCGCATTTTTGTCCATTCTTGAAAAATCGCAATAATAAATGCACGCAATAATTTCTGAATTTACAGTAGTTAGATTTTAGTGAAATTGTTCACATATTGTACCTTAACTTGAGTTTGCCTGAATTGATTTAGTGGAAACTTTACATATTTGTTGGAACTGGTTAACATAACAAACTGTTTGATTTCAAAAATGTTATACTTATGTTTTTTACAGAGCCATTTTATTTGCTTATGATTAAACGCCTTTGAAAGGGCATATTATGCGTTCTTTGCACAGCTGATTATACAATATTTTGAATGAACTTAAAAATTTCTGTCTCCCATATCTTCAATACTATTAATCAAAATGACTTAATATGTAGTCTTGGCAGTGATGAGTTGTCTGGTTTGAGTGCTTTTGAGTTCTGTCAGATGCCTAGTTCTTGTTTTCCTATACTTTGATTCAAATGGGTATATGCTTAACACCATAATGTTCGATTGTCTAATGTCCTGTAAGCTGGAAGTTTGTTTTTTGTCACATTATTGCATTAGTGGAAAAAAAATTGTGCTTTTGCAGTAAGACAGAAATAAATAAGGAATTTAATTTTTTTTTTTTAAACCTTCAATTATGGGAGTAGAATTAGACCAAGCTGTGTCTTAAGTAACAGTTAATTAAATGTTACTGATTTTCTTGGTTGGAATTTTGTCTACAATACACCACCAGTAGTTAGGGTATTTTGAATTAGAAAAGGGAAAATCCTTATTGTGATAATATGAAATCTTTTCTATATCAGTATTTGGAAATTTGTAAAGGATTACATGAAGATGTAGAATGATTTATCATAAGGACAAATGAAGCAAGATTTATTTCTTGTTCAAATAAAGATAAAAAGCATAGTAAGTGAAACTGAAGCAATTTAACTTAACCGCAAGACATGGTCTATATAAATAAGAAGATGTGGTATGAGTGCCAATGAGACAACTATCTATCCAAGTCACAATGTGTAAAAAGTAAACAATTATAGGTCAAAGTATGGCCTTCAACATGGAGCCTTGGCTCACACCGAACAGCAAGCTATAAAGGGCCCCAAAATGACTAGTGTAAAACAATTCAAACAGGAAAACCAATGGTCTAATCTATATAAAAAAACGAGAAACACTTATGAACCACACCAACAAACGGCAACCACTGAACAACAGGCTCCTGACTTGGCACATGTTTTGTGAATGAATTAAAATTTAAAAATTAGGTTTCAGAAAACAAATATTTTAAATAGTTGCATTTATCTATTCACACGTCTTGTATTTCCAGGTCAAAATGTTAAAACATGGAAAGATTCCATTTAAAATGTCCCTGAGAGCAGATATACAAAAAGGTCATCTACTATTGATAAAACCAGCTAAAGATAACTTAGACCAAACAGCTCTTCCACAAGATCAAAGTAAGTGAACAATGTAAAGATAACTTAGACCAAACAGCTCTTCCACAAGATCAAAGTGAGTAAACAATGTAAAGATAACTTAGACCAAATAGTTCTTCCACAAGATCAAAGTAAGTAAACAATGTAAAGATAACTTAGACCAAACAGTTCTTCCACAAGATCAAAGTAAGTAAACAATGTAATGATAACTTAGACCAAACAGCTCTTCCACAAGATCAAAGTAAGTAAACAATTTAAAGATAACTTAGACCAAACAGCTCTTTCACAAGATCAAAGTAAGTAAACAATTTAAAGATAACTTAGACCAAACAGTTCTTCCACAAGATCAAAGTGAGTAAACAATGTAAAGATAACTTAGACCAAACAGCTCTTCAACAAGATCAAAGTAAGTAAACAATGTAAAGATATATGAGAATAAACAGCTCTTCCACAAGATCAAAGTAAGTAAACAATGTAAAGATAACTTAGACCAAACAGTTCTTCCACAAGATCAAAGTGAGTAAACAATGTAAAGATAACTTAGACCAAACAGTTCTTCAACAAGATCAAAGTAAGTAAACAATGTAAAGATAATTTAGACCAAACAGTTCTTCAACAAGATCAAAGTAAGTAAACAATGTAAAGATAACTGAGAAAAAACAGTTCTTCATCAAGATCAAACTAAGTAAACAATGTAAAGTAAAGATAAATGAGAATAAACAATACTGCAGCAAGGTTAAAAAGAGTTCACAAAGGTGCTGGATGGGGTTCAGTGGATATTTGTTCCACTGGACAATTTTTGACTTGTCCAAACAAAATTATACTGAACAGTCAATAACTACATGAGATAATAAGAAAATTCCAAATTTTAATCAGACATTAGGTCATAAAAAAACTGTTTTAACAATATGATAAACTTCTCCAAGTAAACTAGCCACAGTTAATATTTGCCTACTGATCAAGGAAGTTAGAAAAGAAAACTAAAAAAAAATTCTTTATACAAAATCAAACATGGCTTCAGAGAAGTTAATGCTAGTAAACTATGAATGTAAGTAAAATTGGTTTAACAAGTTCAATATAACCACAAAAAAAAATAAATATAGAAAAGTCATTGATTCTAGAAGATACAATAATTAAAACCATTCACACAATAGAATAGAGCAGGTATATGTCAATGAGTCAGCAACCCAACAAGAGGTATACAATAATTAGCCAGAAATTCAACAACATAAAAATATCGACATATGTTAATGTATATTTAGAAAATTGATAATGAAAAATTAGTTTTATGCTAGAATGTGATATTTTAAAGATGTAGATACATATATTGTTTTGTTTCAGTATGCCAGCTTGTGAAGAATACAAATGACAATACAAGATTGGATATGATTTTAGATAATAAAAAGAAACAGATATTTTGTTTTGAAAATGTACATAAACGTGAAAACTTTTGTCAACAAATAATGCATATGAAAAATAAACATTCCAAGGGAAATAATGTGGACCAGATTTCTCTTTTTGTGGGAACATGGAATATGGGTAAGAATTGTATTTCTAAATCTTTTTAGCTCAACATGGACTTCAGTCATACGAGGTATTGCCATTACTGTATCTCAGTCACACATTGCAAACCTTTCATTTCTTTCCATCTAAAACATTACCTCTACTAAAAGGTATAGTTTACAGGAATAATAGTATGGAAGGTGAGACCACAACTTATTACTGTTGAATACCATGAACAACAGAGACTAGATGTAGATGAGATAAAAAGAAAGATTTTACATATAAGCAAATCCCAAGTAAACAACTAATAAAGTGAAGAGAGAAAATAATCAAAACAAACAAAGAAAATATTGAGAAAGAAAGGAACAAGGAAGAATATGGATTTCAATTGTAAGAAGAAATTTATTTGTGTGCCACTGTTTCATTTCCCATAATATTTCTACAGCTGAAAGTGTATATCAGTTAATGAAAGAAAACTTATTCTGTAAGAGTCTGGCACATATTTTAGTAGGATACACAACACAATTGAACTGTTGTTTTAGACTACACTAAACATTTCTTTAATCTTCCTTATAAAAGATTGTTTCTTTGTAAAATATATGCTTATCTTTGTAATTTTATGTTTAAGAGAATGTAAAAAAAAAAAATTTTTTTTGCAACATATTCAAATGTTTTAAAATCTTGCTTGTGTCATTGTTATAATGATACAGTTATATTGTGTCTGGGGTTAATTGTTTATCCTTAATACTATAAATCTCAACAGCAGGGCTATAATGAGTTGATAAAATACAAGTAGGTGAAAATAATAATGTCTTTATATCTTATCTTGACGCAGAAAATTATTGCTCCAGTGTTACTAGTTACTCTGTAAAACATATTTAATGTGTTTATCCCATGTGAAAAACCTATGAAAACAAGATTGGACTTAGATTTGTGATTTTGTTTTTTTTTCTTTCAGGTGACAAAGCTCCAACACAGAATATATCATCATGGTTACAGTGTCATGGCCGTGGCAAAATAATGGACCATAAAATATTTGGACACATTCCATATGATATATATGTGATAGGTACACAAGAGAGCGCCATGACAGAAAAAGAATGGGTTAATTTCATAAAGAAACAGATTACACAGTGTGGATTTGCTGAAATAGAAGTGGTTTGTATTGTTTGATTTTTATTAAATTGTGATGGAGTTAAACTTTGCTTATATTATGATGCATGCAGACTGTCCAGGCATCTACATTTCAGTTTAAAAAATTGTTTTGATATATTTATCAAATCTAGGCAGTCTTTGGTGGATAATGTATTATGGTATGAAAAAGATCTGTATTGGCTTTGAAATCACTAATTCTTATCGGTCAAGGTCATAGAAGTAATTAATGTTGAGCAAAATTTTGGTTTCCTGAAAAATGCCTTAAGTGAACATAGTGAAAGTTAAGCACATATGATTTTATTACGTGTTTTTATACCCCAGGCAACGAGTTGCGGAGGGTATAATGTTTTTGACCCGTCCGTCCGTCGGTCCCTCCGTCAGTCCGTCAGTCCTGTTTCTTGTCATCGCAACTCCTTTCAAACCACACAACAGAATTTCACGAAACCTTTTTAGATAATAAGGACATACTATGTAGTTGTGCATATCGACAGGAAATTACGATTCAATTTTTTTTCTAGGAGTTACGCCCCTTTGAACTTATTTACTTTAATGTACTACTGCAACAGTTGCCATCTCAACACCTCTGAAACCACACAACAAAATTTCATGAAACTTTGTAGATAATAAGGACATACTACGTAGATGTGCATATCGACAGGAAATTACAATTCAATTTTTTTTCCAGGAGTTACGCCCCTTTGAACTTATTTGCCCAATATACTACTGCAACCTTTTGTCATCGCAACTCCTCTCAAACCACACAACAGAATCTCATGAAACCTTTTCAGATAATAAGGACATACTACGTAGATGTGCATATCGACAGGAAATTACGATTCAATTTTTTTTCTAGGAGTTACGTCCCTTTGAACTTATTTGCTTCAATATACCTCTGCAACAGTTTGTCATCGCAACTCCTCTGAAACCACACAACAGAATTTCATGAAACTTTGTAGATAATAAGGACATACTAGGTAGATGTGCATATCGACAGGAAATTATGATTCAATTTTTTTTCTAGGAGTTACGCTCCTTTGAACTTATTTGCTTCAATATACCTCTGCAACAGTTTGTCATCGCAACTCCTCTGAAACCACACAACAGAATTTCATGAAACTTTGTAGATAATAAGGACATACTATGTAGATGTGCATATCGACAGGAAATTATGATTCAATTTTTTTTTCTTATGCAATTTTTTTTCTTACAGTTATTTTATTTCTCCAGTGACAATTTGGGGACGTGGGGTATGTGAGCGCGCTCACTAAGGTTCTTTAATTTATGTATGTTTTGCTAGTGTACCAATAATAACACTAGTTTAACCCCACCACATTTTTCTTTGAAATTTACCGTATGCACACATTTCACTATTAATTTTAAATGTATTGTACAAAGCATTAAACATGTAAAATGAAAACTGCAAAGCATAGGAAAAGCACTAAAATGACGATATAATAGATCACAAAAGCAAATAATTATAAATAGTACTATACTGTATTAAAAATTTCCCATAATTACTGAAGCAAGTTCGAAGTACTTGACCTGCTGATAAGAAATCATATCATCCTATACTCTATCCAATTGAAATCAGAAAATTTACAGGTGAGGTACTGAGTGCCGTTTTTTATGCTGGTAAGCCTATATTATATCGCTTGTCCTGAGTTGGTATTATATTGAAGCAATAGGAAGTAAAAACCACTTCATGAGAATCAGTGAATAAATTGAAATCAATTATTACATGGTGACATCTTGGGAGGTTATATTGGTTCTCTGTTGGTTTTATCTCAATAGTGTTCAAAAAGGGATTTAGCTACAAAGGAGTTCAGTAGGTTACCTATTAATTTTGTCATATGTTTGTATCTCTATTGTAACGTGAATAGAACATATGAAAAATATTATAAAAACAGTATACCTTTGAACTTTTCATCAGTATAAACGAAGAGTTCCTAGATGTACTGATTGAAGCGCCAGGATCATTTTAACGTCTTTGATGTATATTTTTACTGTATCTTATGTTGACTATAGATAACTCAGGCTGTTCAGTTTAGACCTTCTTATGTTATGATTAAGGGAGTTTTATTTATGTGCATACCTATTAAATGTGTTTCCTATTATTAGAAAACATGTGAACTGGACACTGAGATCTGTATCTTAGATTTATAGTACATATTGATCAATGAATTAAAAAAAATATGTGAAGTCCTCAGATTTTGAATATCCCAATATCCCAGTGCCTGAGAAATTTCTTTGATTTTTTTTCAGGTTGAAGTGTGTACATTATGGGGAATAAGATTAGTAATTATAGTACAGAAAAAACATTGGCATAGTATAAATAGAATACAGAGGTCATCAGTCAGGACAGGGATCGCCAATACATTAGGTAAGATATTATATCCACTATATTGCAATCTCTCTGAGCGTCCATCTGACCATCTGTTCGTCTATTTTGTCCAACAAAATGTTTTAGTCAAGACTTTTCTGATGAACTGTTCAACAGAATGGCCATATATTTTGTCAGCATCTTGAACATTATGAGTTGTTACGTGAAACTTTTCAAATCTGACCAATACCTTTCTGTTTTCTGATTCTTAGAATTATGAGTTTGGGTATGTTGAGAACAACAAGTGCAACTTCTTGTTTATATTATGGTATAAACAAAATACAAAGATCTTCTTTAAGGACAGATAATGCCTATTTATTGGGTAATGGTTTTGATGTTTCATTATCAAATAACAAATGTACCTTTTGTTGCCAAACTCTTACAGGTAAAAACTAATTACAGAAAAAAAATGAAAATCTTCAGATTATACCAAAGACTTATATTTTTAGCAGGTTATATGATAAAGGATAAGATATGGTAGTCATTACTTTGAAGAGTATCTCAAATGATATTAGTCTTTCTATATGATATTTTTATAGTAAATTGCATTACAATATGTTTAAGAGGGTATATGCAGAAATTAATTTGCACTATGTTCACTTTAGGCATTTTTCTTTGAAATTTACCCTAAAACACATTTCATTATTCATTTAAATGCATTCTACAAAGCATTAGATTATATATGAAAATCTGCAAAGAATTAACTACCCCTTCTAAGGAATAAAGCACAAACAAAACCCTATGCAAAACAACCCAATATATAGTTGTTGATCAACTTTAAAATATCTATTGATATCTGCTTGAATTTCATATTTAGAAGAATAATTTCTCTCTCAACAGGAAGTGAAAGAAATTCAAAACTACAAATCTATTCTTTGAATAATTGTCTGTATATTTTTTTTCAGGTAACAAAGGTGCTGTTGGTATTTCATTTTATTTTAGAGGAACTTCTTTCTGTTTTATCAATTCACATCTTACTTCAGGAGATGAAAGAAATGAAAGGTAGGAAAACCCACTTTGTTTTATTTTCTTACATAGTAATTAACAGAGTTGACAGGTTATGTATCCAGGTAGAAGTTACTGGCTATTGATTTTTGTTTTTGAATGTTGAAGTTAAAGTTAGTCTCAAAGTTACTTGAGAGGTTGCAAAACTTGAACCTGTTAATAATATTTTCAAAAAATGGATTGCTATATCTTAAATATTCTCAAAAAACTTTTTTTTTGTTTCATATGAAAATTTTCAAACAAGATGAATTTTGAAAAAAAAGTGGCAAGGTTATGCTTTGATACAGTTTATTGCAAAATCTTTCAACAAAACAAACATTTAAATTTACAATAGAAAGCTGTCATTTGAAATATTTTCGTAAATGTACTTTCATATGATATCTTTATGTATAAAATATTTATCTTCCAGACGTAATGCAAACTATCGAGATATAATAAAAGGTTTATCATTAGGACAGAAACATTTAGATTTGTTTGACGTAACTAACCAATTCCATCATGTCTTCTGGTTTGGTGATCTGAATTACAGAGTAGAAGATAATATAGAGGTTAGTTAACAATCTGATTCTCATCATGTTTTACACTATTTCTCTAACATCATATTGTAACTTAGGTCGTTTTAATACAGCTTTTATATAAGAATGTTTGTATGTAAAATTTGATTATTTGGTTTTAAATTAATTCAGATGATGGTTAAAAAAAAAGTTAATTTATGTTTTGTTTTAAGGAGAAAGTGGGTATACCATTTACATTCAAGCATTCTTTGAAATACTGCTTGGTCCCTAAACCCTATAAAAGTTGAATAGCTTCTGGCTTTTAATAATCTTAATTTGTACATTTTTCAAGGCTAAGTAATTATTAAGTGACATTCAGAATTGTTATTATGAAAATAACCAACCATATGGGTCCAGTGAAATAATTGAGAAATAAAACATTATGACTTATTAGGTGTCTTTGATCTATAAATATTTTTTTGTATCATATCTGCATTTTATTTGCTTTCTAATTCTTTCTTGACCATTGTTTAATTGCTATTCATTTTTCTCTAATTCTTAGCTGATTTATCCTTTTCCTGACCTGTTGATTATTTTTACTTAATTAACGTGTGGTTCTTAAGATCTTAGTTCTTCATTGGTCAAAATTCAATTATGTCAAATTTTCTTGCTTTCCTCTAAATATCCTATTGTAACATCATGAAAAAAGGCAACTATGCCTGATGATGTTACATAGAAAGAACACATCTCTTGGCAGATCATTTAAAAAGAAGAATTAAGTTTGTCTGCATATTGTCTCAAAATCATTAGAGAAACAGATTCTACCAGCAAATCTCGTTTTAAATTTCAAAATTTATATGTCAGGAGTGGAGAAATATCGTATTACACTTATATATATGCCTTGGTGTTATATTTTGTTAGTGTCAAACTATAGAGCTTCTGTTTAGAGTTGTATTTGAAAATGAAAAAGTCATAGTTTACCAGAAACATAAAGTCTGTTTACTCAGTATGAAAATGGAAAAGAGTAAAATAGATGTTTAGTTTGTTTACTCAGATATTTGTTCATTTTTCCCTTTTTACAAAATTCATATTGCCATCAATTTTTGAAATGTGAATCTGGTGCAGTAAATTTTGGTACTTTCAATGTTATTATATGAATGAAATATTATGGGTTTAAACACACAATACATACATTTTGACAAGAACAATGACTGCACTGTAAATAAGGATATTATAATGTTTTCAATGCATATACTTTTCCTGCAGGGGTTTATTTCACATTAATATACTTGATTTGTACAAACTATTGACACTTGGGATATTTTGACACATTTAACTTGATCCCTAAAAATGTGAAAATAATCCCAGTGTAAAAGTTTCCTTGTATACAGAACAGTTGGTTCATTATTAGGGCCCTGCCGAATGGCGGACTCCCTATAGTGATCAGTCCGTCCGTCCATAAAAAATTGTGTCCGCTCTATATCTAGAGAACCGTTATGATTTCAAAGTTTATACTTAACATGTATATTAACCAACCCCAGAGGGTGTGTCATAATGTATGTACAACTTCCTAGGTCAAAGGTCAAGGTCAAAAACTTTGGTTTCAGTTGACAACCCCATGTCCTATGGTAAAGTTCGTGTCCGCTCTATATCTTGAGAACCGTTATGATTTCAAAATTTATATTTGACATGTATAAACCAACACCAGAGGGTGTGTCATAATTTATGTACAACTTCCTAGATCAAAGGTCAAGGTCAAAAACTTTGGTTTCAGTTGACAACCCCATGTCCAATGATAAAGATACAATTTTTTTACCACACATTATTCACAGCGGGGCCCACAGAGATGGCTCCTATCTCAATGATATCTAGTTATTCCAGGGGTACCAATTTTTGTGGATTTGGTGGATAAAGGTAAACCACAAATTAGAATGGTCCAAAGGAGTATAAATTTCTGTAGGCTTGTATGCAACTATGGGAAATCCACATAATCAAATATGGAGAAATATACTATTTTCCCTTAATCCACGTAAATGGGTACTCACAAAAATGAATGACACAGTATAACATTTAATGTTGAATAATTCTAAATTTATCTTCTCAGATTATTTTAGAAAAATGTGAATCTCAAGATATACCATATTTACTTGGTAAAGATCAGTTGCTGAAAACACAACATAATAAAAAGGCTTTTTGTGGATTTGGTAAGATTTATTGTAATTAACCATCAATATCAGTGTTTTGAGTAAAGATGTAATGTTGGCACTCTTAATTTTATTACATGTAGATGAATGAAAAATTGTGGTTTTAAACACACAATAAATATATATATATTTTTTAAGTAAAGAAACATTTTTTCTTTGGTTTAAAAGAACTTAGTATCAATTAATTCCTTGTGCATTATAACTATTAAAATTTTAAGTTTTTTTTTTAATTAACAAAATTGATAGAAAAAAATCATATAATGCTAAGGATTGTAATTCAATGAGTTGGTCAAAATTTAACAAATATTATCAATATTGTTTGAAAACAAAATAGTAATTGTTTTTTTTTAACAAATGTAAGACCTTATTTCTGAAATGCTTTCATATGTTAATTTTTTTAAAGTTTTTTTTAAGTGAAAGCTGAGTTTAGTTAGGAACATGAATAAATTGACACTTAATTTTATTAATAAAAGTCTAACAACCATTGAAAGTTGTTTAAAACTATATAATATAAATGGATTCTTCAAGGTTGTTTTTGTTTCTTTAAGCTCCTATTGCCAAAGGCCACGTGAACTTTTACCATCACATAGCATCTGACTTCTTTTAATTACTGAATTTATCTTTTGTAGTCATAATGGGTTGAATTTCAAAATCTTATGAAAAAAATGACTTCACCAGTTAGATCTGAACTATACATATTTCAAAAACGATTAAATTGAAACTAGAAATAACCATGCAGGAATGTTCCTGAAAGACTGTAGTTACTTTGGTCGTAGTTAAGTTTAGAATATGACTTAAATTGCCCCAATAGGACCACTTTTATCCAAATTTGATAGATTTTGTATACGACCGCAAAAAATATTGGTATCATGTCGTCGTCGGCGTCAGCGTCGTCCTAAGACATTTGGTTTCCGGACAATAACTTTAGTATAAGTAAATAGAAATCTATGAAATTTAAACACAAGGTTTGAAACCACAAAAGGAAGGTTGGGATTGATTTTGGGGTTATGGTCCCAACAGTTTAGGCATTTGGGGCCAAAAAGGGGTCCAAATAAGCATTTTTCTAGTTTCCAGACAATAACTTGTTGAACAGTGTGTGGATCTCTCTGAAATTATACCACAAGTTTCCATACCACAAAGGGATGGTTAGGATTGGCTTTGGGGGTTATGGCTCAAACCGTTTAGGAATTAGGGGCAAAAAAGGGGGGAAAAACAAGGGTTTCCTGGTTAATGGACAAATACTAAAGTATTGGTCTTTGGATCTCTATGAAATAGATATTGGACCATTAAGCATTACATAAGGGAAAGCATTCGATTGATTCATGATATTTTACAGTATATTGTAGAGAACAATATTTTTTGATTTTGATTTTGAGAAAGCTTTGATTCTTTATGTTGGGACTTCTTGCTATAAATATTACAATTTTTCATGCTATTAGTATTACATTTTTTTTTCATATGCTGAATCTAACTGTGTATTTGGTTGTTGGGCCCATTTTCTAATTGGTCCAAATTTTGGTTCTAAGGCTATAAAATTTGTCTTGTTTGATTTAATAAACATTAAATAAAATTTAAAAGATAATAATTACAATGTTATATTTGAATTACCTCCCTTACATTGCTTTTAAATTATGTAAAGTTGTCATCTAGTTCTAGTATGAATTATTTTTTAGCTGTTTCTAGAAACATCAAATATTGCGATGGAAGTATATATAATATAATAATAGTGTATATCAAAGGGTTCAGTGGTAATAAATTTTCATATTCAGAATTCAACATAATTTGTTTGGGTTTTTTTTAGCATTAAGAGTTACCTCCCTTATAATGGTTTTTTTTTATAAAGAAATGTTGTATTGTCTTGAGGTGATTAGCTGTCAATTTATTTTTAGAAGTTACTATTAAATGCTGATGAAGGTATATTAATTTTAGCCATGATTATGTATGTCATTTTCTATTTTAATACTTTTATGATGTATTTAAATGGGTTTTTATGGTTGCAAACTCCTTTGGAAATTTGAATTGAGATTATGACCATATCTTGAGGGGAAAAATTTTCTTTTTGGAAAAAGGGGGGGGGGGGGGGGGGGGGGGGGTAAAAAAAAATTGGGGGGGGGGGGGGAGGTGACAATAATTTTTGGGGGATTAATTTTTCTTCAAGATTAAAGAAATTGTCAATTTTCCAAAGAAAAATTGTGTGTCACAATTGCTAATTCTTTGTATATCCTCTGAAAACAGATTTACTAAGTATTGCGCAACAGCACAGTGTATTGCACAAAAGCAAGAAATTGAATATAAATTCAAATCATTTAACGAATTCTAAGTTCTTGGACTACAGTTATTCTATGTCTGAAACCTATTATGTGTCAAATATTTAATTACAATCCAAATTCAGACCTGTATCAAGCGCAAATATTGTGTCCATTTTTGCCCCAACTGTTCAGGGTTGGACCTCTGCGGTCGTATCCAGCTGCGCTTGGCGAAGCAATTTATTTTTTATTGAAATCCATTGATTTGGAACCAAACTGTCTAAATATTTTTCAATAACGGATACTATTATATACTTTTTTAAAAGCTGTTTGCCTTTCCTTTTTTTAAAAGCTGTTTGCCTTTCCTTTTTTTAAAGGCTGTTTGCCTTTTCTTTTTTAAAGGCTGTTTGCCCTTTTTTTTTTAAAGGCTGTTTGCCTTTCCTTTTATTAAAGACTGTTTGCCTTTCCTTTTTTAAAGGCTGTTTGCCTTTCCATTTTTGAAGGTTTTTGCCTTTCCTTTTTTGAAGGTTTTTGCCTTTCCTTTTTTTAAAGGCTGTTTGCCTTTCCTTTTATTAAAGACTGTTTGCCTTTCCTTTTTTAAAGGCTGTTTGCCTTTCCTTTTTTGAAGGTTTTTGCCTTTCCTTTTTTGAAGGTTTTCGCCTTTCCTTTTTTAAAGGCTGTTTGCCTTTCCTTTTATTAAAGACTGTTTGCCTTTCCCTTTTTAAAGGCTTTTTGCCTTTCCCTTTTTAAAGGCTGTTTGCCTTTCCTTTTTTGAAGGTTTTTGCCTTTCCTTTTTATAAGGTTTTTGCCTTTCCTTTTTTTAAAAGCTGTTTGCCTTTCCTTTTTTAAAGGCTGTTTGCCTTTCCTTTTTTTAAAGGCTGTTCACCTTTCCTTTTTTTAAGGCTGTTTGCCCTTTCTTTTTTAAAGGCTGTTTGCCCTTTCTTTTTTAAAGGCTGTTTGCCTTTCCTTTTTTTAAAAGCTGTTTGCCTTTACTTTTTTTAAAGGCTGTTTGCCTTTTCTTTTTTAAAGGCTGTTTGCCTTTTCTTATTTAAAGGCTGTTTGCCTTTCCTTTTTTTAAAGGCTGTTCACCTTTTCTTTTTTTAAAGGCTGTTTGCCCTTTCTTTTTTAAAGGCTGTTTGCCTTTCCTTTTATTAAAGACTGTTTGCCTTTCCTTTTTTTAAAGGCTGTTTGCCTTTCCTTTTTTGAAGCTTTTGCCTTTCCTTTTTTGAAGGTTTTTGCCTTTCCTTTTTTTAAAGGCTGTTTGCCTTTCCTTTTTTAAAGACTGTTTGCCTTTCCTTTTTTTTAAAGGCTGTTTGCCTTTCCTTTTTTAAAGACTGTTTGCCTTTCCTTTTTTTAAAGACTGTTTGCCTTTCCGTTTTTTAAAGACTGTTTGCCTTTCCTTTTTTTAAAGGCTGTTTGCCTTTCTTTGTTTTAAAGGCTGTTTGCCTTTCCTTTTTTAAAGGCTGCTTGCCTTTCCTTTTTTGCCTTTCCTTTTTTTAATTTTTGTCATGGTGTTGTCTATCTTTCTTCAACTCATGGTTTTTATTGCCCTAGCAGAGGTTAAAGTCAGCAGCTTAGCAGTGATGAGTTGTGATGTGTAAGTGCCTTAGGGATCTGTCAGGCACCTTCTTTCTGTTTTCTGATACCTTGAATTATGAGTGGGGGTATGCAAAGCATGACAACACATGCATTATTTTCTATATTCAAACACAATCACATTAGAAATAAGATAGAGATTTTAGATTTCTTGTGTAATGGTCATGAAAAAAGTGATGTATTGTTCTTTTTTTAACTCTCATTAGTAACACGTACAAAAATCTATTTGAGGTGTTAAGTTTTTTTAGTATTGTTTCATAATGAGTTACAATCTTTTTTTTAACGTATATTTCAGAGGAAGCTAGAATAGAATTTATGCCAACTTATCGATTACCTAGACACAAAATGGAGTACAAATATGATTGGCTGAAACAGAAGAAGAGCGGGGTAAGTACAAATATGATTGGCTAGAACAGAAAAATTAGTGAGCAATTCTTTTTTGTTGCTATCTTATATTATAAGCATGAAAAAAAACTCAAGGGTATTTCAAATAAATACTGTAACACCTTATCTCTATTTGTTTGTCATTACTGGATATCTCAGATGTTCCCGTATAATGTTGAAGCCACAAAAGAAAAGTGATTGTTGTATGACATTCAAGTGTCACAGATTCCCAAATAGTAATAAGGTGTATATTGAATGTATGAGAACTTTTCTAAGTATTTGATAGCAAATGAATCAATGATTCAGACCAAAACACAAAAGAAATTGTTAGAAGAAGTACTTTATGTTTTTCTGAAATGAAAAATACATACAAAGTACATTATTTTAGCTGTAATATTCTATATATAAACTGAGATGTAATGTTTCGAAATTGTATAATATACCAAATACTTATCAAAGGATTTAATAATGATATGTGGCAGATTACAGGCTAGCAATAAAATGGTGTATTATTCATTATTTATCATATAATGAAAAAAAATTTTCAAGTTCTGCATATGTACAAAAACTGAAGACAAAAAAAATAAGAAAAATTATGCTGATAACCCAATATATTCCCAGGCAGACATCACATAATGGAGCTGATATGGTATTATCACCCTGTGTGTAAAAATACATCAGAAATATGATTAATGATTGATAAATGTATGGTCTTTTCTATATCAGCCTTCCACCCATATGAGACCCTCATCTATTGTCTCTGGATGAAAACTCAGCTAGAGCCTATGGCTGATATGTGAGGTTTTTTTTATGATAACTTGCGTGATTTTGAAAAGTTAATTACTTGTGTTTTGTTTATGCTTCACAATTTGAAGTAACAGTAAGTTTATTATAAGTTCACTCTTTAAAGCAATTTTTGGGAGAAATTGGATATAAAAGATTTACCTTACAAGGGATTTTCTATCCTTCTTAATGTGATATATTTTTTAGGATAGAGTTAATGCCCCATCATTCTGCGACAGAATATTGTGGAGGTCATACCCTGAAACTTATGTTGAAAATAAAACTTATGGTAAGTAAGTTGTCTTACTGATCTGCTTGTGCACGATTCACAAATAAAAAAAATGTAATTGGTCATACAATAAAGATAGGAAATTGAAATACAGGCCTGTATGAAATGAGGATAAAACACATTTTCTATTTCATTTCTTAGAGAATATATTTTGTTCTATTAGTCTTAGTTTACCAAACCTGTAATATGCTTCAATATTTAGTTCTTCCATGAATATTCAAAGATAGAATATTTGGAAAGTTTTATTTAGCATCTAGGACAAATGTAGGAGCTATATTGAGAAATGAAATGTTCTTTATAAGCATAAGAAGATGTGGTATGATTACCAATGTGACAACTCTCCACCAGAAACCAAAAGACATAGAAGTTAGTAAATATAGGTCACCGTGTGGCATTCAACAATGAGAAATACATAAATAACATAGCAAGCTATCTATTACAAGTAAAAAAAACTGTAAAATGTAAAACCATACTCCACAGTCATGGGGACACATTCTACTGCATACACACAGCACGAGCAATAAACCCTGCAGTCAATATGAAAATACTATTACTATCTGTCTTGCATTACAGTTCATCATGGATGTTCATGTAAAAAAAAATATGTCCCTAGAGAAAATATCTGATAATCTCTGTGAATAGTGATTGTTGTTTGATGTCAGTAGGTCTAACATTGCAGAATTAAAAATTGTGGTCAAGTATATTTTTTGCCATTATGAAACTAATTTGTAACCTGGTACATACAGCTAATGCAGGGTTTTAGAAAGTCAGTTTTTGAAACATGTATTTAGAATTCAATATGCTTTAATTAAAGAATTTATATTTAAGGCATAGTGTAAGCACTTCAACAGCATTTATTTCATTTTATTTAAACAGGCTGTGCAGAAAAAGTTTTAGGCAGTGATCACCGACCAGTTTTTGCGTCCTTTAATGTTGGAGTTAGTTCAGATTTTGTGATGAACAGAGATTCTTTAATAGAGGATTCTGTAGTGGAAATATTATTTGATGAAATTGAAGCACAGGTAAATATCTGAAGATTTCATGTTTATTAAGAAGGTAAAATACTATTTATGTACAAATAATGGGAGTGAATTATTGGGTCATGAGACAAAATGTCGGTATTAACAATTTGATTGATTGATCAGTCCATTGAATGATTGCTTACTGGATTGATTGATTGAATAATTAATTAATTTATTTATCAATTGATTGGTTGATTGATTGAACGATTGATTGATGTTGGCTTGTGTATGACCCTTTTTGAGAGATATGAAGTTGATCTTTTCACTAATACGGAACTTGAATTTGCCCCTGTTGGACTTTTGATCTTTGACGTTTTGAAGTTTTTATTCCAGAAAATTTGGTGATTTTTTTAAACCACAACTTCTTTTCCAATACCACGCTAAAGAAAATGTCTAAAAAAAATTCCAGTTAACAAATTGTTTAGCAAGATTTTGACTTATAGAATATATTAAAAACATATTGATGTCATATGAACATCATCAGTTTTTTTTTACTTGATATATTCTTCCTTGTTAGTCAAAAGATGTCTTTTGAATTTCATAACTTCAATAAAACACCTCCTACAATGTAGATTATGTTCTGATAAGAATATTGAGAATTATATGTAGAATCAAACAAACTACTTATGACCTTTTCTCGTCTTTTTAGGTGAAGACCTGCTGTAAACAGTCTTTTGTGATAGAATTTAGATCAACATGTTTACAGGGTATGTTGAAAGTGTGTTTTTATATTATTGGACCCTGCTCCTAAGGAGTAGGTATACTGATATTACCCTGTGTCTGTCCATGTGTTCATCCATCCATCCTTTTGATTTTTCTCAGAAACTACAAATCATAGCTTCCTGAAATTAGGTTTCAGGCTGCATGTGAGCAGCTTTATTGTGTGATGCGTTTTCACATTCATCACTCATCAACTTCCTGTGAACCAAATTCTTATATATTCTTACACATAATGAAAAGATGTGAATTTTTCGTCCCATTTTTATAAGGAACTATGGATGATTGTACCCTTAAATTTGGTATCAAGCTTCATGTGAGCAGCTTTATAGTCGAGTGCATTTACACATACTTTACTAATCAAGTTTCTGTTTCTTAAAAAGTTATAACGGGATATCATTAGTAAGCACTAGCTCACATTTCAACCTGTTATTATTATTTAAATGATAAAAGATCAGCAACATCCTGGTTACGGCACGGACATGTTTGGATAGGAAACAATCACTGAAGTTCATTAAAGGAGCTATCTTTGTTTCCTATCTTTAAATTGTCCTTGAGAATCCATTCTTGAAGACAACTCCAGCATACTTCGGTATCTATTCTGATTATTCTGCCCACTTGTACCCACAGAAGGTGTTGGTTCACTTGACTTATTTGTTGTTATTATGTTTTATCAGAAGAATGTTGCCACATCCTGTTTAATATTATAGATTTACTTCTATAAATTGTTATCATATAGTCATGTCATTTAAGAGCATACAATACTGAAGAAGGGGCAGATAATAATCCAAATTAAACTGATCTTTTTTGTGACTTGTATTCTTAAAGCATTCAAAATCTAAAGTCATTTATTTCAATATGAGAATTTGAAAGATGTTGCTAGAGAAAACAGACATGCTCTTTAATAAGTGAATCTTTGCTTACCTTTATGATAAATAGAATGTCCTTAATATTTTTTGACTACATTGAATCAGATAAAAACTAAACTCTACTTTGTAACATACAATTTGAATACAGTAGGAATATTTGAATGTTTTCATTCAATTAAAAAAATAATTCTGTGAAGTTTTGTTTTATTTTTTTAAAAGGATTTTTTTAATATTTCAGAATTTGTCACCAGTCAGTCAAATGCTACATTTTTAGAGAACAAAACTGGTTTATATACCTGTCCTGTATGGAGATCTCTACAACTTCCTAAAGTATGTATTCATCTTATGTAGTGTTCATGCATGCATGTACAAGTATTTGCATTTTATAAACACAACTGATATTGTTGGAAACTTGACAAATTATAGAATCCAAGTGATATAACTTTAAACTCTATGTGGTATAACTTATTTTTACTCATCACAAATCTTTGATCTAAGATCACATCCACAAATCCATTTCAAATTTGTCTCCACTAGTGTTATTCTTTATGGTCCCTGAGATCCTAACCAAAACCTGACCTCAAGGTCCAGATAATCTTCATATTTTTAACTCTATTCCTTTTACACCTGTACGGACATTTCTTGCTATTGAAATATATTGTGATTCCTTCTTTTTAGTTGAAGCCATTGTTTGGAGACCAGGATTACTTAGAAGAACAACATATAATGGTGGCAGTGCGATCAAAAGATGGTGACAAGGAATCATATGGTAATCACCTGTCTAATAAGGTTTTACTGTTTATCAAGAAATGATCTTTCTTCTGATATATGTTCTTGGTAGATAAAAATCTATCTGATGCCAACAATTATCTGTCCATTCAAAAAGGTTGTGAAATGCAAACAATGGACAAGACAAATACTTAACATTGAACATAACACTTCACGAAAGTAATCTGATATAGGATTTGTTGATGATAAAGCTGTGGTTTATTGTTTTGGTTATATTGCCATATATTTGCACTTTTTGGTTTACCTTTTATTAAGGTAAATGTGCATTAAGGTTATATCTGAATAATGTGACATTGTCACATGCTATGGATCTGATGTTAGAATACTATTCACCTGAAAATTTTCGCATTTATTCACTAATTCTGTAATTCTTTAATTGAGCTTGAATTTTACTATCCTTATCACTGGATCTGCTGAAGTCTACAGAGCTATGTTTAATGTAATTGTTCCTTTTACCATCAATGGTAGGAAATGATATAAAAGTAGAAATAATTTTCATGAAAGTGGTTCTGGAAGGAAGGGAATTCTGTTTTGGATGATTGATATTCAATTGTAAAATTGAATATGATGCAAAGATGTCTAACAGATCAGCGTCTCTTTTCCCAACAAATCTTCTACTAAAATTGATCGTAAGTTGCATTATTTTGTAAAACACATTCAGAATAAATTTTGAATGCTCATAAAATTTTTGTTTTTTTTCAGGGGAATGTGTGGTTGCACTGAAGAAAAAATTTGAACAAATTCCTCAAAAATTTGAATGTATGCTACTTCATCAAGGAGAAGTAACTGGCAAACTAAAGTAAGTGTTCAAATTTCTTTACTTAATTTCCAAACATAATTTAATTTGAATCAATCTATTAAGAATAATCTGAGATATATTTACATAAAAGTTACAATAGTATTGTTCTCCAGGCCCATAAATTTAATTGTTTAAATACATAAAAAATTCTGAAGCTAAAATGTTGTTGTTACAATTTCAGAGGGAAAATGCATGTGCTAGTAGGAGGAACTTCCAAGAAGAAGACTTCTATAAAGTCATATGGTAATTAATTTAGCTGATAGATGTATAAACACTACAATAAAATTTCATTTCTTCTATTTTGATAATAGAGATGAATGGTGTGGAATCATAGATTGTAACATTTTCCAAAGTTATCTTATTGATAATACTGTTTTAACAATATCTAAATCTTTTTCTGATAAAAACTGTCTATAGTCATCTTTCATATTTATGCCCCTCCATCAAAAGAATATGGCATTATCTTTTCTGATCTGTACATCTGTTCAGTCAGGTTCAGGTTAAAGTTTTAGTTTAAGGTAGTTTACTGTGAAGTTATGTTTGCATCAACTTGAAAATTAGTACATATAAAAAAATAACGAAATGTTTATTATGATGTGAATTTTTAAAAATTTATGCTGAATTAAGATTTTGAACCTGATTTTGCAGTTTACTTTACATGGAAATGTGATAGTGTGAGCTGGGCCTCGTGTCCTATGGAAACTTATTCTTGATTGATATTGCATTGGTTCATTAGTCATTTTAGAAAAATCCAGTAAGGCTACAATATTACATTAGAAGTCAGAAAAACCAGATTAAATATATAGTACATGTAGGAGCCGGTCATTTGGAATATTTCAGTCATAAACAATTCCTTATTGTTCATCAGAAAAAGATTATTAACTTTTGATTATGTATCTTTTCTAGAACTTGTTGCCTTTGACACAGATACCGATGAATATTGTGATCCTGATCTCATCCATTCTGATGTCACTCCTGCTACACCTGATGTTATCCGCATTACTCAAAAATCTCAGTTGTCTCCTACAACTGCAAAACAAACATCTCCCTTGTCTCAATTAAAACAAAAAGGAACCAGTAGGCCAGTGACTGACATGCCAAAGAGTTCTCGTTCAGAGGAATATGAAGAAATTTCTGTTGGTCAGGTATCTTATCAAACCAAAAGCTGTTTACTAGTGTTGTCAACGGTTAACCGATTAACCAGTTAACCGTCAATAGGACCTAATTTCTAATACAAAATCACTAACTGGTTATTTTTCTGTCCATTTTACAGAGACCTGCTAATACAAAGGCTGTTTGAGGTTTTCAAGTCTTATGATAAATACAATATTACCACAGATTGACATTAAATATCAATAAATTGCAAAATAGAAATATATGAAATATCAGTTATATACAGTGAAACCTGTCAACACTGAACACCTTTGGGGCTTTGTGTTTTGTTCGGTTTTCACAGGTGTTCGGACTGTAGAGGTAAACGGAAGTGGACAGTTTCAAATTATTTTGACACTGACGAGGGACACCAGGTGCAGAACAGACGAGAATATATTTTCATGTTGAATTAGATGTAAATGTTAATAAAGTCAAAATATCAAATAGATGAAGAAAGACATAGCTGCATTTTTTATAATAAAATGCCAATTCGTCAATCAAGTACCTCACTAAAGAGAAATATTAGCTCTATGTTGTCTGATGTGTATTGTGTTGCTTTTCATAATGATGTTGTAATTTTTAAATTCACGGACCAATTCAGATTCCCAATAACTGTCAAATGACAGTTCCATAGTTGACTAGAGATCAAAATCGTCTGTTTCAATTATCTGTACACACGAGTTCTCAAACTTTATCTTAACTAAACAGAACATCATCTTCTGGGTACTCAGAATCATCTGCATTTAACATGGCCTCTAAAGGGGAACCTGCATCACTAAAACATGATCCAAAAGTCGTTGATTTTGTTTCTTTCGACGACTTCTCAATAAATGGCCAATGAATGGCTTTAAGAATGTTAATTTATTTACAAAGTTCAGTAACAGAATGGTAATTGTCAATTTGTGACAGTGGATATTTGAATCACTTGCATTTAATTAATAAGAATATTTATATTGAAGGGAAAGTTCCTTTCTTGTCCTTTTCGGCCATGGAGGAGGCTAATTATTATGATCAATTTTACGTTTCTTCATAGGAGTTTCCATGTTAACACTGTATACAGCTACACTAACAGGCTAATTATTTTATAAAAACATCTCACCGGTTAATTAAAGTTCAAATACCAAAGCCCGTGGGGATCCTCTTATAGCCTGTGTTTGTTTAATCACTCATGCAAATCAATGAATATACCTTTTATTTTTTATTGCCATCGAATGATTTTGACAGGTAATGTTTTATTACACATTCACTAACGAGCCTTAAAAAGGCATTCGGAATTCAGTATTGGCAGGGTTTGGTTTGTTCAGGTTAGATTAACGTTAATTTATAGGGAAATTTTAAATTGTTCGGTTTAAACTGTAATTCGATTTTATCAGGGTTCAGTTTTCCTAGGTTTCACTGTACATGTTTTATCTTTTTAGTTTTGATTCAATTGGATGCCGCTATTGCATGCCCCAGAAATATCTAAAATAGTGACTGGCTTCCAGGGAGAGAGTTTTAGTTTAAATCTCATCTCTTTTCATATTCACTCTTTATAAGTCTTAGCTCACGAATTTTAAATTTGTTTAAGAAATGTAGGCTTGGAACCTTACCGCCTGTATACAAATAAAAATTGAGTTATCATATTTACAACTTTGTTATCTACAGTATAAAAGGATTTCAAAATAAAAATTTCTCAACCTGGTTCAAGTCATCCTGTATGCCAAACAACCAGGAAAAGATGCGAAAGTAGAGGGCACATAAACATATGATGTGAGGTGATCTTGCATGGGGAAGTTTCTTTTGTTTTGTGTATTTTTTGTTTCATGTTGGATGCAAGAATTTATTTATTTATTTGAACTAATTATGATCATTTTTATTCTTATATAACCTTATTTTATTCTTATTGTAATATTCAGTATTCCTAAAATTTTGTAGTGGTCAGATTTATTGGTAACGTTAATTATTTAGTGTTTATCATCAACTTTAGATTTATAAACTCTGTCACATGACAGAAATGGATTTATAATGAAATTCATTTTTTGTAGAGAATAAGACCAGTAACTGAGGTTCCCCCAAGTAGAACATTAAGTAAGAGAACACCACAATATGAAGAAATAGATCTGTTACAGGTTAGCTGATATATAAAGTAAAAATATACATATTTGATATACAAACACAAAATCAGAAACATGGCCATGCCCAATTTTGGCTTATCTTAAGCATTGCATTTTGTATCAATGTATCTCCTTTTCACATAATTTTTAAGATGAGGTGTCATACATCATCAAATGTTATATAAATACTGTGAAAATACAGTAAATTTAAAAAACACTAAAGATATAAAAAGCATACAAAAAATTTCAATATTATTTAATAGAAAAACAAAATCGCACATAAAGCAAAGGAACAGCTGTTCTTCATCTCAAAGTCACAGTGAGGCCTTCAACATGGAGCAAAAAACTCTCACCTCACTGCAAGTTTAAGACGGCTCCTAGCACGGCATGAGTGGAATTCTTTGCAAAATGATTTGGATAGACTTTGTAAGTTGTAACACCACCAAATCGGACCCAGTCAAAAAGAACATACTAGAAATTAATACACATTTAAAACAAAATAGTTCCTGTGCATAGGTGTAAATATCAAACTATGTAGAATATATTTTGGTAACTTAGGTATCAAATGAAAGGAAGGACTGGTGATCCTTGTAGATAGATATAAGAAGATGTGGTATGAGTGCCAATGAGACAACTCTCCATCCAAGTCAAAATTTATAAAAGTAAACCATTATAGGTCAAAGTACGGTCTTCAACACAGAGCCTTGGCTCACACCGAACAGCAAGCTATAAAGGGCCCCAAAAATTACTAGTGTAAAACCATTCAAACGGGAAAACCAACACAGTTTGACTGGTAATTTTGAATAATACAAAAATGTATGAAAGAATTCTAAAATTGAGGGCATATATTGCCTGTTATGTTTATCTTTTACTTCTGTCTGTTCTGTTGGAACAGAAGTTTTCACCTTTGCTTATTGTCTTGATCAGCAAAAAAGTCAACATTGCAGATATCATCAGTCAACTCCTTATTGGAGTTATTGCCTTTTAATGATGATTTTTTACCAATATTTAGAATTTTTACCTAGTGTAAATTGAATGTTGAGTGACCTATAGTTACTATTTTTTATGTCATTTTGTCTCTGGTGGAGCATTGTCTCATTGGCAATCTTACCACATCTTCTTAATTTTACATGAAGAATTTGGCAGCGTTAAACATGTTTCTGAGCACTCAACCTTTCCCTTACCTGGAACAGTGGTGTAACAGCACAACAGAAGAACAAGCATTAAAAATAAGTTGCAAATTTCTTAACTCAATAGAATGGTATGAAGCACACAAAAAATTACTAAAATAAAATCAATGGACCCACAAAGCATAGATATAAAAGTAATCGCAATTACTGAAAGTTCAAATCTTATAAAAACTGATAAATAAATCATGTTCACCCAAACTAAAGTATCAATCAGTACACATATAATGGATTTAGAATAAGAAGATGTCATAAACAGTCTGAGAGACTCATGACCTTTTGAGCCTCTAGCAATATGTGTTTGCTTATTATCTTGAAAACAATAATAAAAACACAAGAGATATATTAAAAAGCAAAAATTAACAGCATGGTAAAATATACAAAAGAGTCAATATGGCTGAAACCTTTAGTTGACTCCTTATAGGAGTTATTGCTCTTTCATGAAGATTTAAACCAATTTTTATACGACCACAAAAAAATTTTTGTGGTCGTATATTGGTATGACGTTGGCGTCGTCGTCGTCCGAAGACACATTAGTTTTCGCACTCTAACTTTAGTTTAAGTGAATGGATCTCAATGAAATTTTACCATAAGGTTCAATATTACAAAAGGAAGGTGGGGATTGATTTTGGGGTTATGGTACCCATAGTTAAGGAATTAGGGGCCAAAAATAAGCATTTTTCTAGATTCCAGACAATAACTTGTGTTCAAATGTATGGATCTGTCTGAAATTGTACTGCAAGGTACCATACCACAAAGGGAAGGTTGGGATTGATTTTGGGGGTAATTCCCTCAAAATTTTAGTAATTAGGGGCCATAAAAGGGCAAAAAAACAAGCATTTTTCTAGTTTCAGGACAATAACTTGTGTGTAAGTGTATGGATCTTTATGAAATTGTACTGCAAGGTTCCATATCACAAAGGGAAAGCTGGGTTTGAGTTTGGGGGTAATTGCCCTAAACGTTTAAGAATTTGGGGCCAAAAAGGGGCCAAAAAAAAGCATTTTTCTAGTTTCCAGACAATAACTTGTGTTCAAGTGGATGGATCCCTCTGAAATTTTACTGCAAGGTACCATACCACAAAGGGTAAGCTGGGATTGAGTTTGGGGTGATGAATCATAAGGGGGTTCAAAAAATTGGGGGGGGATTTTTTTTTCATTTTTTTTCTTTAAAATTTTCCATTTTAAATTGGTTATTTCTGATTTATATATAAAAAGCAAATAATAATGATATGGTTTGAATAGGTAAATTAAGAATTTTTAAGTTCTTAGACCACTTTCATTCTGTGTGAGAAACCTATGCTGTGTCAAATATTTAATTACAATCCAAATTAATTACAATCCAAATTCAGTGCTGTATCAAGCTTGAATGTTGTGTCCATACTTGCCCCAACTGTTCAGGGTTCGACCTCTGTGGTCGTATCAAGCTGCGCCCCAGTGGAGCATTTTATTTATTTATGTTTTTACCTATTTTCTGAAAAATTAAAATAGATAGATAGAAACTTAAAAAGCAAAAATGATCAACAATACAAGATCTCCAAAAAGGTCGGCGTTTCTGAATTGTTAGTTGACTCCTTATATGAGTTATTGCCGATAATTGAAGATTTTTTACTGATTTCTTTTGCCTTTTTTAAAATTATTTTGAAAACTTTAGTTAGATAGAATCCTTAAAATGCTAAAATGATAAACAGGACAAGATCTACAAAAATGTCAACATGACTGAAATTGTCAGTCAACTCCTTATAGGAGAAATTTCACTTTAATGATGATTTTTACCAATTTTTCCTTTTTTGGCAAAAACTTTGGTGGATAAAGAAAAACTGTTGACAGTGAAAATGATCTACAAGACAAGAATTACAAATATTTCAACACAAGGGAAATTGTCAAACAACTCCTGTTAGGAGTTATTGCCCTAAATGACTTTTTTCACCCTTTTTTCATTTTGGGCAAAAATTATAGGAACTAGAGTGATACTGTAAAGAGTAAAAATTATCAGCAAGACATGGTTACTAAAAAAGATATTTTTAGTCATGAATTATATTTTAGTCAACAATGTTGGATAGTGGCCAATGTTGAAGCTGCACATATATCCAGGTGAGCAACACATGTTCTTTAGAGACTCTAGATCCCTAGTTGAAGATTATGCGTATGTCCTTGTTTATCATCAGTAGCATTTTTTTTAATCTCATTTGTGTACAACATTCATTCTTTTGGTTATATAAAGGCATAGAGTTTGTAATAATGACTTGAATTTTTTTATAGTTTCCAGAGCAGTCACAAACTACTGGTGCTAGACGTAAACAGCTTCCCCCACCATCCTCAGACTCACCCATCTCTTTCAGTGCTCCACCTGAAGTACCCCCACCTCCATTACCTAAGAAGCAGGCTTCATACGTCAATGTTATACAGGTAAGTTTCAAAATCCACTGATATGAATGATTAGATATTGTTATAGTTCACTGAGTCTGATTGCTTTCATATAGGTTCTTAAAAAATGACTGATACTTTTTATAGCAGGTTCTATAAATGTTCCCTAAAGTGAATATCAGAATTAAAGGAGTAGGTTCAATAAGGCCCCAATATAGTCCTATTTCCAGCTAAAGTTTCAAATAAAGATTTATTGACCATTGCATAATGACTTATAGCCACAACAATGATTAGATAGAAATACATGTAGATCTCTTTGATGAATAATCAGTGTTCTATTCATGTTGTCACAAATAGGACAAATTTTGAATTTACATGAAATTTAATGAAAACAGGGTATTTTCCATTGGTTTTTAGGACCTGAAACATACAACTTATACATTAACAAAAATAATCAATGTGTCTTTTTACATAATATTTGTAATTAAAATTTACATATCTGACTGGAATACTTAGTATTGTGGAACCTTTTATCTATGTTTCCAGGGCCTATATGTGCTTAAAACCTTGACCATTATGTCAAATTTCACCAAAATATCTTAATTTTGGCTATGTGGAGTGTAAATGTTGAGGCTTTATAAGAAAAACTTGACAGAAATACTACTTTTTCACGTTCTCATATTTCTATTTATCAACTTGAAATACTTGTTATGATGAAATAATGGACTTAATATTTGGGTATAAATGGGACCCTTACTGAACTTACTCCTTTCAGTATGGGAAAATAGATGTTTTCAATTGATATGTAATTACTTGTCATCTTCATCTTTTTATCAAATGTGTCAATTTGAAAATGAAAAATGGTGATTAGTAAACAGTTATATATTAATATTGACTTTTGCCAACAGAGTGCATCTAAGGTATGTAAGCTGTTGTTTGATTGGTGTATAGTTTTACATTGTTTCTCAAAATGAGCCCTAATATTTATTTTCATTTAATTCAACTAATATATTAATTTAATTACTTCTAGATCTGTTCAAGTTTTATGTCATGTCAGTTTTAAAACAACTAATTTACAAAATTGTCTCATCTTAACAAAATGTTTTCTGTTACTTTCAAACAATAGTGTTTTATCAGAGAATTACAAGGGAGGGTGAGGGGTCAATGTATACATGTAGTACAGGAAGCAGTAACAAGTGGGGGAAAATGAAATGTGCTCATATTCTGAAATAATTATATAGGTATTGATGTGAAATTTCAAAAAAAATATATATAATTTTAATTTTTTCATAATAATTGCACAAGTTTGTCTGTAGTAATGTATCATTTTCACATTGTATTTGTACTTATATAGATAATGCTTCAACTTACTAGTGTTTATGTGGAAGTAACTCATGTGCATTTTTTTTTATTTATCACTATGGTTATGGCATTTGTTTTAAATTTGAGAAGTATGTTTTAAAATTTAAAATTAACATGAAAAAAAAACAAAACACAAATTATGTGATAGATTATGAAACTGTGGTTAAAAAAATGAACAGCTGATAGCCAGTTTTTTCTAAAAAAAAATCGGTCAACTGAAACAGTTAATAAATACGAACTTTTAAATCTTCTAACTTCAAACCATGAGTTGCATTAAGTTAGTGATAACCCTTTGTTTTTTTTATGATGTTTTAACTCTGCTGAGCTATTAAATTATTATTGCCTTATTTTACTAAGGACACATAATTAAAAGCAAGTAAGTATTCACATAGACCATTTTGTTGTATGCATGTATATATACACGGTATGTTTTGTGTTTGCTTTCCCAGTACATGTATCACTATTGAATGAACAAAAATAGGGTATAACTACTAAACAATTTGGCATATGTGTTTAAGATAAAAAAAAAAACTTATTATAAGAATTATAAGAATGACAATGTTTAGTTTTTACACTGTGGATTCATTTATTTTTGTTGATTGAGGACAAATCAATTTTTCGTGGATATGTGATTTTATGGTTTTGCTAAAGTCTGTATACAATTACAAATCAATAGAAAATGTGTATTTCGTTGAATATTTGAATTCGTGGTTAACATATACCCACGACATCCACGAAAGTTGGTATCTCACCAATCCACAGTATTTTGATTATTAGGAAAATTAGTATATAAGATAGTTAATCACTGTCAAACAGCATCTCATTGTACATCTACAGGATGGTCAAATTGGAATTATGACAAATATTCTATAGAATTTTAGAGCATGAATTGACTCCTGTGTTGAATTTTTAACATAGTTACCTTGAAGTCTTTTAAGTTTAGCTTTTCCAATATTAAGATGATAGTTCTCTTTCTAGGATTTATTGTTTAAGCATTAAAGTCAACTTTCATCTACTCGTCAGAAAAAAAGAATGAATTACTTTTTCTTACCATATGTGTATATTAATATATTTAGTACTATAAAGATCATGTATTCAATAGTTTTACAAAGAGCATATACATGACTTGAACTTTGCACATGAAAATTTATATCCTTCTGTCAGCAACATTCTTACTTAAGCTGTTGAAACATCAAAGAATACTGTGTCCAGCTTCCTAGATCAGTCACTAAATTTTGTATAGCTTTCTTTAGTAATGCTTCTTTCTGGCTTAATCATATATATGTGTGTGCTCTTTGTACTACTTTTGGATAGTTCAAGGTGTATTAGTGTTCCCTACAAGTTGTTTTGGAAGGATTTCGCACAAATTTGTTGTTTGTTTTTTTTTTTACTTTCTTAGGGCATCCTATTCTGTTGTGTTAAATTTATTTTGACTCTGACCTTTTTCTGTGAATTCCTTCAGAAAATTCCTGCTATCAGATTAGTACATGTACCAGCTCATCATTGTGTCCAGCACACTCAACAACAAAGCAGTAAAGTTAATTGTCAATCATGAAAGCAAACTTTGTGGTTTTTGGGATGCATAAAAATGCTTGAAGTTATGGGCAAGCAAGCAATGAATACAGGTTTAGGATTTAGGAATTTAATAGTAAAGAAATGCAAACAACAACAAAATGTTAACACCTTTAATGATTTTACAGTTCACTTGTTGTGCTGTTTTTACTCTACTTTGCCCTGCTTATTTAAAACCTGTAGGGAACACTAAGGAACAATATCTTTGAATAAACTAGTATTAGTGTTAACAAGTTTTCATAGTTTATAACATTAATTGATGAAATATAAATAGATCTAACCAATTTTAACTTAGTTTTAATTTCTTGCCAATATATAGTTACATATAATCGGTTTATTAATTTGCAACTAAACACTGTAGATAGTCTATTGGTATTACCTTAATTTGATTGAGATGTTTTTTTAAGGTTTTATTTCTTTAGAATATTTGTTATATTGCATGCATTTTTTTTTTTTTAGCTCAAATGACTAGTATGTGAGCAAGCAGGCATCAGTCTGTTGTCATGATTAAAAAAAAAAAACAATCTGCTTAGGTGCAACGGGCAAATAGCAAATAACATCCAAGTGTAGTGAGTCTTAAATGTGACAATCTTGGGGGTCCAATCTTGGGGCCTGTAACTGTTTTCAATGCAATGTCAATTGAAATCCATTGATATTTTCTCTTCTGCTGTTCAGGAGTTATGGTTCTTGATTGATTGGAAGATGGTATTTTATTTTGTTTTCCGTGCAATAACTTATAAACTGTTCAATCAATTAATGTTTTTTATATTTTACATATGATTATAAGAGTTGCCACTCCCAGGCCTGCTGAGTAAGGGGAAATCATTGCATAGTTGTATGTCTAAATGGATAGTTTTAACAATTATGCTTTAATTTCAGATCTAAGGTAGTTTAAAAAAAAATAGAATTAACATTTTATTTTTCATTATACTAGTTAGTAAATTGGATAGATGCCTTAAGGGATAGCAGGTTGATAAGAGGGACTGTATAAATTTTCCGAAGGGGGTTTGGTTGGTCGCCTTTTCTGAGCTAACATTTTTTTGTGAACTTATGTTACTCTTGTACCAACATGATTCTTATTTGATTGGTTTATCATGTTGAATCATGTTCTTATTTGATTGGTTTATCATGTTGAATGTTCTAATTTGATTGGTTTATCATGTTGAATGTTCTTATTTGATTGGTTTATCATGTTGAATGTTCTTATTTGATTGGTTTATCATGTTGAATGTTCTTATTTGATTGGTTTATCATGTTGAATCATGTTCTTATTTGATTGGTTTATCATGTTGAATCATGTTCTTATTTGATTGGTTTATCATGTTGAATGTTCTAATTTGATTGGTTTATCATGTTGAATGTTCTTATTTGATTGGTTTATCATGTTGAATGTTCTTATTTGATTGGTTTATCATGTTGAATCATGTTCTTATTTGATTGGTTTATCATGTTGAATGTTCTTATTTGATTGGTTTATCATGTTGAATGTTCTTATTTGATTGGTTTATCATGTTGAATCATGTTCTTATTTGATTGGTTTATCATGTTGAATGTTCTTATTTGATTGGTTTATCATGTCGAATGTTCTTATTTGATTGGTTTATCATGTTGAATCATGTTCTTATTTGATTGGTTTATCATGTTGAATGTTCATTTTAGGTTACTTAAAAACAAAATTTCTGTATATTAAATTTAAATTTTTGTTTTTCAATAATCCATTCCAGCTATGCAGATGCTTAAGTACATGTAGTTGTGGTGTTTAGCAACACAATGCTTACATTGAAACGCGTGATATATAAATGTTTGCTATGTGCTCTTATCTTTACACTGCTATATTGTAATGTCATGTGTCATTTTTATACTATGTTTATTTTAATGTGAAAATAAAGCTTTCCTTCACCTCTTATAACCTTAATTTAGACTTGCAAAGAAAGCAAACTGTATTAATTATCTTTAAATTTCTCCTTAAAAAAACAAGTCATTCATTTATTAATTTGGCTGTACAAAAATAAACTCTTAGTGATGAAAATACATGTACCAATACTGAGAAATGAGAATGATTGGTGTTAACCAGGAGGATTTTGTGTCCCCATTGCATGAACTCCACAGAGAACAATAGCTATTGTATTTATTCAATAGGACAGCTCAACCTCTAGAATTTAAACAGCTTGATAAACACCAACTGATTCTGGGGAAAAGTTTTATTTCCTTCCCAAAAACACATACTAGTGATGTGCTAGTAATCAGAATTATGATTTTTATAAGCAGATGTAGATGAGATGAATCCATTTTTGTTTAATTTTGAATATAAGGTGCACTTAAAAACACATTAAAGGATAACAAGAATAAAAAATATATAAATATTGGACAATACAACAGACCACACAACTTCTATAAACAATATATGGTCCAGATGACCTGTCTTTTGCACAGGCCTAACATGGGGTTGAGTGAACCTAATTTTATGTGTGCACTAGCCTTCCTATTTATCTACCTGTATGTCCACTCAACTCTATATATAGTTTTTTACATAGAATGTTTTTGTTTTCTAAGGGGGTATGTGCATGGTCAAAGGGAAATAAAATGGCTATTTCGAGATGGAAAATAGCTCGCACATTGTTTTTTTACCAATTTGCTCATTACATGGTGATTTTTAATATGCTTGAAGTACAATAACTGGTCAATTTTTGCTATCTTATTCAAATATTGTACATACATCATCTGCTCAACCGTAGTTTTCAAGCAAGAACATTTTTAAGCCGTTGGTTTTCTCGTTTGAATTTTTTTACATTTGTCATTTCGGGGCCTTTTATAGCTGACTATGCAGTATGGGATTTGCTTTATTGTTGAAGGCCCTATGGTGACCAATAGTTGTATACTTCTATGTCATTTGTTCTCTGGTGGAGAGCTGTCTCATTGGCAATCATATCACATCTCCTTATTTTTATATTATAAACACAATTTTGCTACAGACATTATACATTTGCATTGGTGCATATTGTTGAGAGGATTTTTTTTAACCAATAATGCACATATATAAACAACATTTTCAGGTAATTTGCATCAGATTTGCTATACAGACACAGGATACTTATAGGGCAAAGAACAAACTGATGTTCATACATTTAACTGTAGTGCCTATAATCATGCAAAAAGCTAAGTTACTCAATACAAATGGCTTTTCGACTCAAGTCTAAAGTGTTTTGGAAATCTCCATAAAAAGCAACATAGTGTGACAGTCAGTACATTAAAAGCATGTTGTATATAAAACGTATAAAAATTTGCATCTAGCATGATAGTACGTAATACAATAAAAATCAAGCAATAATTATTATAAAAGTTCTTTGTTGGAATGTCAGTGTTTTTTTCAAAGAAAGTTTATTTATTGTATTACTTTGTATATAAAACATATGGAGATACACTATACCTATTATACAAGTGTTCATACCTAATATACAAGTTTATTGGGCCTTTTATAGCTGACTGTACAGTGTGGGTTTTGCTCATTGGTGAAGGCTGTACAGTGACCTATAGCGGTAATTGCAAACATCTGCATCATTTGAACTCTTGTTGATAGTCTTTTCATTGGCAATCATATCACATCACTTTATTTTTTCACTTATTATAAAAGTGTTAGTCTTTCTTGAAATCCTGTTTTGTGAATTCAGTTTTAAGTATAAAAAGAGAGCAGTATTTCTTAATATTTTTTAAAAGACAGTTATATCAATTATTTTGAATGAGAACTTTTTGTCTGTCTTTTCAGGCTATGTTCCAACAGCAAAATCAAGTACAACCTAGAAATGATGTTGCTGATTGGTTGAATGGATTAAGTTTGCAACAGTATATTGAAAATTTTATGGAGCATGGCTTTGATTCCATGAAACATCTCCGTTTATCTCGACAGGACTTAGTAAAAATAGGGATTAAAGATGTGACTCACAGAGATAAAATTCTTAGCAGTTTATTTGAATTTGATAGCAACTGTTGACAATTAGCAATGTTAATATCAATAGTTTCTTTTAATATAAATACCTTACAATTATGAACATGATTATCTGTAAATGGAAAAACATCACTAATCTTAATCATGCTTTTTATTAAGAAAAAATGCTATCAAGTTTTCTGATCCACACTATACTAATAAGTCTTTTAAAGAAAAATGATGTAATCCATATATCTCATTGTGCTTAACTGTTGCTTGGTTTTAATTTCTGATAGAAAGTGTATGGAAGACTTTTTTAGTCAAACATGTGTCACGTCCTAATTCTTGACATGACTGATATCATTATTGACATGTTTGTGATGAAGGGTCCAAATCAAATTGTCATGCCTTATTTGTTAACTTACAAAACAATTTCTTCTTTAAAAAAATCTAAAATAAATGTTATTTTTTTTATAGATTTGTCATTTGCTTTCCACAACTCAGCTCAAACCACCCTATGGGATCAGAATTATCTTTGGTTTTTTTTTAATGATACAGCAAACACATATTTTTAGATTATGGGTGATTGAAATCATGACACTTCTCTCTCTTGTTTAATACCATATTTTCACAAAGAAATCTACCAATTTCTGCTTTCTAGTTAGTTCAGTTTTCACTGACTGATTGAAGATTAGATTTGACTGAAACTTTACACTCTTAATACACCATTGTATAATTAAGAGCTTATCTAGATTTTCTCTGCTTAAAACTGACCAACAGTACATTTGTCATACATATAGAAACTTAGCATTATCATCAACATACAAACAAAACAGATATATTTAAAGCAGCCATTTGATCATAGTATTTATAGTTTTTACTCATGTCATAGGTGACTTTCACAGGGACTCTTTAAAAGTGAAGCATGAATCATGAAATAATTTGATTTTTTCTCATAATGTTTTTAATAATTGTGAATAAAAGGAGATTTAATGTGTCAACAGTAAACCCACAACACAAAAAACCAACACAAATATAAGTATGTTTGAAAATGTTAATTAGATTATTCTTTGTGCCCATATAGTTCCTTGTTTATTAGTTGTTGAATTTTTATGGTGCTATTTGTGTCTGTTTTCTGTATAAACCATGAACTCCCAGTAAAGGGAGATAACTTGTACAGTATATTGTATTTGATTCCTGATCTGTATTATATTGTATGTACTTAGTAGGTATCTTCCTTTATTATCAATTTGCTGTTTATTGTATGAAGGAGATTAGAGAATGAGAAACTATCCTTATTTTGTCATATATTTATACTATAAAGTTCAAGTAAAATGTACCCCGTTATTTTTTATGTTTATTTAAAAGTCAGCCAGTAACATTAATTAACTTGCTCAGTGACTTCTTATGTTTGCCAAATTAAGTTAAATAAAACAAAAAATTGGTTCACAGCATTTCTACCATTGTTTTTAATGATTAAGTGTAAAATTCAAAGATAAAATTTGTTGAAATAACTTCCAGTGTTTATCCATATTCTATCTTTCCTTCCATATTAAAGATCGAATTATGAACTTTGCACTTTACTGTTAATTAAAAAATAATGCCTTCATTTATCATTGTAAAATTTTGACAACACAATAATCCAAGATGATAACTGAATGCTAAATCAGTAAATCCTACGATTTCAAGTACTGTAATTAATTTCATTCCTGCACATCGTTTATTAGAATATGGCTAGAAAAAGTTGACATGCCAATTTTCACATGACTATCACTGACATAAAGATAATGTTCAGAGTCTCTCCATCCTTTATGAAGATTAATGTTAGACTCGGTAGAAAAAAAATCAATATTTTCAAATACATTTGTACTGCAAAATTACTTTATATGATGACTGCCTTGGACAGACTTATCATGCACTCATGGTATAGCAACCTCTATTTCTTATTGGGATGTTCATCCTGTCACATTTTTTTCCATTTATAAAAGCATCACATTAACTTTTCAGTATTTTTCCTCTGCATAATTGAACGTAGGGATCTTGTTTCATGCATATTTACCCAATTCATTGTGATCCTTTTTTCTTTTAAGTATTATAATTTTAAAAGTTATAGTATATATATACACCTAACAAAAGTGATTCTCTTTATTTTGAAGATCTGACTTTTATATGACATAATATACTATTGTATACACATAAGTGTATTCAAGAATTGTAAAATGTTTTATTACTATTTGTTGCTGGAATTATAATGAAATCTTTTATATATTATTTTCATAATAAAATATTAAAAAAGCTACCTAATTTATGTGTCATTTAACTTGGGAAGAATTTGTATCTTCTTGGTAATTTAGTTGACTGATCACACATATGCTACTAGTTTTTGTGATTTAAGTCATGTGCCACAAGTGCAACAGAAACTTCTTATTCTTCTTGAGCATTTGAGTTCATCTCCAGTTGTTTTGGGTGGTTTGTATTGCTCTATCATTAGTTTTCATCATAAGGTATTGTATGTTTATCATTTTTGTCGAGCCTGAGAAATTTATTTCGCGAAAGCGAGACATAGTGATCCAAGAATCTGTCAACATTTAGGTTCAGTCTGTGGTTAAAAGATTTTTAAGACTTCAATAAATTTGTCAAACCTACATGGAATTTTATGAAATTTGGACAGAAGCTTGTTTATGACCAAAATACAGCATCCAGGGCAAAATTTTGAAAATGTTTATTTTCGTTTTTCCATATTTTACTGATAAATGGACTTAATTTTTTTACAGTTACCATTCATATTCAGTCTGAGGTAAAAGTTTTTCAGTCATCATTAACTTTGTCAAACCTTTATGGAATCATATGAAATTTGGACAGAAGCTTGTTAATTACCAAAATACAGTATCCAGAGCAAAATTTTGAAAATACTTATCTTCATTTTTCAGTATTTGACTAATAAATGGACTTAATTTTTTTACAATTTAGAAGTAGATACAGTCTGGGGTTAAAGTTTGTTACACATCAAATACTTTGTCAAACCTTCATAGAATTTTATGAAACTTTTTTATGATTAAGAGATAATGTCTGAAGCAAACTTTTGAAAATATATTTTCATTTTCAGTATTTTTCTGATAGATGGACAGTCTGGGATTAAATTTTTTTGACATGATAAGTTTGTAAACATTCATGGATTGTTATGAATCTTGGACAGAATTTAATCTTCAAGACCAAGAAATAGCATCTAAAGAGAAAGTGATTATTTTTTTTTAAATTCTGTATTTTACTGATAAATGGACTCAGTTTTTAAGTCAACACTACACTTTTACACTGACTGTAGCAATCTAGGCGAGACACAGGGTTCCAGGGAACCCCTTACGATTTTTTAGTTCATCTAGCCCATTAAGTCATTTCCACCACTTGGCATCCATTGTTGTCTGTCATTGACAAAGTTTTTTTTTAATATTCTCCATTGCAACTGCTTGGTTGAATGTGACCAAACTTTACCTGGATGTTCATTAGAGCGTGCACAAGTATTTTGTAACAGTATAAAAAATAAAATGCTCCGCTGGGCGCAGCTTGATACGACCACAGAGGTCGAACCCTGAACAGTTGGGGCAAGTATGGACACAACATTCAAGTTTGATACAGCTCTGAATTTGGATTGTGATTAAATATTTGACACAGCATAGGTTTCGGACACAGAATGAATGTGGTCTAAGAACTTAATATTTTTTAATTTACCTTTTATGGTCCAATATCCAAAATCTAAATACATGGTTAGATTCAGCATATCAAAGAATCCAAAGAATTCAATTTTTGATGAAATCAAACAAAGTTTAATTTTGGACCCTTTTGACCTCAATGTGGACCAATTTGAAAACGGGGCCCAAAAATCAAAATACATGGTTAGATTAAGCATATCAAAGAACCCCATAAATTCAATTTTTGTTCAAATCAAACAAAGTTTAATTTTGGACCCCAACTTGGACCAACTTGAAAACTGGGCCCATGATCAAAAATCTAAACACATGTTTAGATTAAGCATATCAAAGAACCCCAAGAATTCAATTTTTGTTAAAATCAAACTAAGTTTAATTTTGGACCCTTTGGACCTTAATGTAGACCAATTTAAAAAACGGGATCCAAAATTAAAAATCTAAATACACGAATAGATTCAGCATATCAAAGAACCCCATATATTCAATTTTTGTTGAAAATCAAACAAAGTTTAATTTTGGACCCCAATTTGGACCAACTTGAAAACTGGGCCCAAAATCAAAAATCTAAATTCATGTTTAGATTCAGCATATCAAAGAACCCATTATATTCATTTTTTGTTAAAATCAAACTAAGTAAAATTTTGGACCCTTTGGACCTTTATGTAGACCGATTTGAAAACTGGACCCAAAATTAAAAATCTAAATACATGGTTAGATTTGGAATATCAAAGAACCCCAATAATTCAATTTTTTATGAAATAAAACAAAGTTTAATTTTGGACCCTTTTGACCTCAATATGAACCAATTTGATAGCAGGGCCCACAAATAAAAAATCTTAATACATGGTTAGATTCAGCATATCGAAGAACCCCATATATTCAATTTTTGTTGAAATCAAACAAAGTTTAATTTTGGACCCCAATTTGGACCAACTTGATAACTGGGCTTGAAATCAAAAATCTAAATACATGTTTAGATTCAGCATATCAAAGAACCCCATATATTCAATTTTTGTTAAAATCAAACTAAGTTTAATTTTGGACCCTTTGGACCTTAATGTAGACCAATTTGAAAACTGGACCCAAAACTAAAAATCTAAATACACGGTCAGATTTGGCATAACAAATAAATATAATATTTGAAGAATAATTCTTTTTAATTTCTGAAATCTGAAATGAGAAAAAATTGCCCCCCCCCCCCACAATTTCTTTTTACCCCCCCCCCCCCTTTTCCCCAAAAAAATTCTTTCCCTCAAGATATGGTCATAATCTCAATTCAAATTTCCAATGGAATTTGCAACCATAATTACCCATTTAAATTTACCAAAGTGCTAACTTAATCTATTTTATAATAGAATTTAAAATATGGTGTCAAATCTTTCATATGGATTTTTTTGTAAAAAAAAAAAAAAGATGCAACATTTGCAGATATTTTTACTGGTCTTCCTTTATAAATATGCATTTCTTTAAATATAATTTAAAAGCAGTGTAAGGGAAGTAATCAAAACGTTGTATGTGGATTACCTCACTTACACTGTTTTAAATTGTCTTAATTGTTCATTAACCATTACTTTGTACATAATTTAAAAGCAGTGTAAGGGAGGTAATTCAAATGATGTATTTGATTTATCTCCCTTACACTGCTTTAAACTATGTTTTTTACTAAAATATTTGTCCATATAAAAATGCTTGTTTTTTGCCCCTTTTTTGGCCCCTAATTCCTAAAATTTTGAGGCAATTGCCCCCAAAATCAATCCCAGCATTCCCTTTGTGATATGGAACCTTGTGGTACAATGTCGGAGAGATCCATACACTAACACACAAGTTATGTCTGGAAGTTACAAACATGCTTATTTTTGGCCCCTAATTCCTTAACTGTTGGTACCGTAACCCCCAAAATCAATCCCAACCTTCCTTTTGTGGTATTGAACCTTATGGTAAAATTTCATAGAGATCCATTCACTTAAACTAAAGTTAGAGTGCGAAAACCAATGTGTCTTCGGACGATGACGCCAACGTCATACCAATATACGATCGCAAATTTTTTTTGCGGTCGTATAAAAACCAGAGGAGTCTCAGCCAATATCTACCATTGTTTCTATTTGTTCAGAATTGTCAATTCACTCCCTTTTTGAGGCATTGCTGTCAAATAACAATTTATATTTTTTACTTTTATCTTGAAAACTAAAATCGAGCAAAAAAGATCAATTAGCCAAAAATTACAAATAGGTCAACTTAGCCTAAATCATCAGTCAACTCTTTTAGAATTATTGCCCATTGATGATGATTTTTACCATTTTTTTTAATATTTGGCTAAAAATATAGTACATAGAATCTGTAAAAAGCGAAAAAATGAGATCACAAATACATCGACTGGACTGAAATTGTCAATCCACTCCATATAGGAGTAATTGCCTTTCGTTGATCATTTAACCCATATTTGGCTATTATCTAGAGTACTGTAATAGACCGAGAGATACTGATCACAGCAATAACAATCAGCAAAATGATATCTATAAAATAGGTGAACATTTTTAATTGAACGACTTCTTGTTGGAGTAATAATTAATTATTGCTGCTCAATGTTTTTTACCAATTGTAGGGTTTTCAGCAATTATCATGAGAACTGTAATAGATAGAAACGGTAAACAGCAAGACAAAGTCTACAGGATAAGAAATCATTCAATCTTTATTGGGGTAATTGTCCTTAAATGCCTTGACCATTGTGTTTAAATATTCTCAAAGTGGATCTTGGTCAAACCTGGTCACAATCTCATGTAGTGTATGAAAGATGGTTGCCAAAGTTACTAATAATTTTACTGTTGCATATTTTTACCAGGTAAGCATGGAGGCCTGTGGGAGTCTTCAGTTGAAATTTATGACAACATATAAATATAGTAAATTTTTTCCAAAGAACATAAGTGAGGCTCAAAAAACATCAGGTTACAGAAAATAGCACCGGAAATTAACCTCTAAACTTTATATCCTTTGGTCAGTTATTGGTGTTTTCTTGTTTTAATGACTTGATTTGTTTTGTAATAAAGTTCTAATAGAAATGTGGGGTATATGTCAATAGGAGTGCTACATAACAACAGAGTAAAAGGAAAGACATCTAGCTGCGAACATATTGCTTTTATCAAATGTATGTCAAGCCTAAATCACTTTCAGTCTAAGGAAGTGAAATTTAAACTAAAAGGCAATACCATAGATATGCCATCTCAAACAAAATCAATAAAGGACTAACAACTTAACCACTGACACAGTTTCAAACATTTTCACCTTCATTACAGGTAGTGAAATAACAAAAGGTACATACATAGAACATACAATAATTTTAAACCAATTCAGGAAAAGCACTGTTCTCTATATATTGGTACAATAGCAGATCACAAAATCAAAGGTAAAAGTAAAACAATCAGTGTCGGATCTAGAAATTTTCATAAGAGGGGGCCCGCTCCAGTCATGCTTCAGTGATTCCCTATATAATCAACCAATTTTTTTCCCACAAAAAGGCACCCCCCCCCCCCCCCCCCCCCCCCCCCCCCCCCCCCTGCATCCGCCTTTGACAATACTAAATAATATTACATAAAAAATGCTCCTGGTTACTGAAAGCAAATTCAGAGTTCTAATTAATCTCCTGATAAAGATATCATGCCTACTACTATTCTAACATCACCTGCTGATATTCAAAAGTAGATTTCAAAAAGGAACAAACAGAGAACATGATCTTTTGCATTGCCCAAAAGTAACTTTTATACAGAATTCCAAACAAAAAAGAATAAACAGCTGTGTCAGGAAGGCAATATACACCTGTCATATATATGCATATTTAAATTGTTGCAAAACTAAACTGGAATATTGAAGAAGGCATTATTGCATTAATTCAGAAGTCAGTTTAACAACCTAGAAGATAAACTTGCAGGCTAATGTCCTTAGAGGTATAAAACTTATGCTATTGGGAAACATGTGAAAAATTGCCTTAAATCCGACAGTTAAAGTACATGTACAGTAATAATGGAATGACATATGAAAACTAGAGGTGTCGGAACTATACAAAGGCCCCACTCACAAAAAAAGCTTGAAGTCATTTTTAGGAGCTGAAACTTGATAATAAAAGATTGATAAAATCACCAGAGCAGAATGAAATGTAAACTTCATCTGTATCCCATCATAGTAGACTCACATACTAAAAATCAGCCCAATATGTGAAGGCATTTAGAAAAAAAGTCTGTATAAGTGTTATTTTCACGAAAATTTCGAAGTCCAAAGCCTGTAATTTTGGCAAAAATGAGCAGAGCAGAACCAAACTTCAACTATATTTGTTACTCATCATAGTAGACTCACATACTAAAATTCAGCTCAATATGTGAAGGTGTTCAGAAAAAAGTCTGCATAACTATTATTATTTACAGATCTTGTTTTGCTGATCATTTTTGCTTTTAAGAGTTTCTATTTATCTACTTATAATTATATTTGAATGACGATTTCAGCAATATCAACTTATTTTGTAGATCTTGTTTTGCTTATCATTTTTGCTTTTTAAAGTTTCTATTATAGTTTTTAAAATAATAGGCAAAAACACAAAAAATAGGTAAATATTGTCATTAAAGGGCAATAACTCCAATAAATGGAGTGGATGACAATTTTGGCCATGTTGGCTTATTTGTAGATCTTGTCTTGCTGATCACTTTTGCTATCTAAAATTTCTTTAGGCAAAAACGCAAACAATTGGTAAAAAATTGTCATTAAAGCGCAATTACTTTATTTAAGAGCTAACTGACAATTTTGCCCATGGTACTTATATGCAGATCTTGTCTTGCTGATCATTTTGCTATTCAAAGTTCCTATCTATCAATCATAGTTTTTAACATAAAAGACATAAATGAAAATAAATGAAAATTTTATGTTAAATTCATCATTTAATGGCAATAACTCCTTGATATAAACATTTTTGCCTATGTCAGATTTCCTCTATCTATAGTGGTTTTTAAGATAATTGACAAAACTTGCATTTTACCCCTATGCTCTATTTATGGTCATGTCAGCCATGTTGGTTGGCAGACAGGGTCATCAGACACATTTTGAAACTAGATACCCTTATGATGATTGTGGCTAACTTTGGTTAAATTTGGCCCAGTAGTTTCAGAGAAGCAGATTTTTGTAAAATTTAACGGAAGGCGTTGACGAACACCAAGTGATGGGAAAGGCTCACATTGGCCCTTTTAGCAAGTAAGCTAAAAAATGCCTTAAACCTGACAGTTTAAGTCCTGCAACTCTGGAAAGACAAAAACTAAAAGACAAAAATTGTTTTAAATCAAAATGGAGCTTTTGTCCACCAATGCAAATATTCCAAATTTCCATGAAATTTTATCAAGGTTCTTCTTGCTTTTGTAAGTGTAGACAGACAGACAATTGTATATACCATAATACATCCCTTCCAAGACAGGTGTATAAAAATAAAACATTTTAGTTGTGTTTCAAATTGTAAATAAATGCTGTACATAAATATTTATGTTAGAATGTTTATATGCAGACTAGGTAAATAATAGATATCCTTTGGTTTAATTTTTCTTTACGTTCATTTTGAAACAAAACTAAAGGCTTTAAAGAGCCTGTGTCGCTCACCTAGGTCTATGAACATCTTCAACAATGGACTCTCTCCAACATTGTGGACTTGAATAGAATTCATGACAAAAATCATTTTGTTTTGTTGATCTTTTATTGCTGATAATTTTTTCTGTATACAGTTTCTCTCTATTTTCTTTAGTTTTTGCCCAAAACACAAAAAAAGGTAAAAAAAAATATCAATTAAGGCAATCACTCCTATAAAGAGTAAACCAACAATTTTGGCAAAATTTTACTTACTTGTAGATCTTGTCTTGCTGATCAGTTTTGCTATTTAAAGTATCTATCTATCTTTTATAGTTTTCAAGATAGAAGGCATAAATGTAAAATGTTCGTAGAAGTCATCATTAAAGAGCTAGTACTCCTACAAGGATGATTTTGGTTATTTGACTTATTTGTAGATCAAGTCTTGCTGATCATTTTCGCTTAATTATGTTTCTATCTATCTATAATAGTTTTTCAGATTTAAGGCAAAAACGCAAAAAAATGGTAAAAATCATTATCAAAAGGCAATAACTCCAATAAGGGTCATCAGACAATTTCAAGACTACAAACTTATTTGTAGATCTTGTTTTATTGATCCCTTTTGCTTATTTAAGTTTCTATCTATCTATAATAGTTTTTCAGATATTAGGCAAAAACGCAAACAATTGGTGAAAATCGTCATTATTTAGGGCAAGAATTGCAATCTGGAGTTGTCTGATGATTTCGACCATCCGCGGACTTATTTGTAGATCTTGTCTTGTTGATCATTCTTTGTATATAGAGTTTCTCCCTATCTATTATAGTTTTTCAGATATTAGTGAAACATGAAAAAAATCAGTGAAATTCGTCATTTAAGGGCAATAACTCATATAAGAATTCTGACAGTTTTGAAGTAAATACACCATATGTAGATCTCATCATTTTGAACATTTTTGCACCTGGCAGATTTTCTCTATTCACAGCGGTTTTCAAGATAATAGACAAAACTTGCATTTTACCCCTATGTTCTATTTTTAGTCATGTCAGCCATCTTGGTTGGCACCCAGGGTCATCAAACACATTTTTCAAACAAGATACCCTAATGATGATTGTGGCCAAGTTTGGTTAAATTTGGCCCAGTAGTTTCAGAGAAGAAGATTTTTGTAAAAGTTAACGAAGACAGACACCAAGTGATGAGAAAAGCTCACGTGGACTTTCAGGCCAGGTGAGCTAAAAACAGGAACTGGTCCCTTCAATCAGTAGTCACTTAAGATGCTTAACAAATCTCTAGGGACCATTTTACAAAACTTTACAAAATGCTCCATTTATTTTCAAAACCAGAGATGTTGAAAAAGAGGGACGAAAGATACCAGAGGGACAGTCAAACTCACAGATCGAAAACAAACTGACAACGCCATGGCCAAAAATAAAAAGACTAACAGACAAATAATGGTACAGATGACACAACATAGAAAACTAAAGACTAAGCAACACGAACCCCACCAAAAACTGGGGGTGATCTCAGGTGCTGCTCCACATGTGGCACCCGTCGTGTTGCTTATGTTATTATAAATCCGGTAAATAGTCTAATTCGGTAGGTCACATTCATGAAAATGTCATAACCTTTGGGCCAGGTGAGCTAAAAAGGACCATTCCAACCAAGACTGATTCAACTTAGCTTACCAGCTACATGTTTGTAGATGAAACCTAAAGAAGGACACTAAGTGATAACAATACATTCCTGCTCATTCCTGTTTTTGAAACAGTTGACCAGAAGGTATACAAAAAGAAGAGTATCAAGACTTTTGAAAGCATTTATTGTACAATGTTGACAATATGGTGACTACATGTTCTGGATCTGACACCTCACATAGATCACATTTACATCCATTTTAGTTGATTTTTGAAAATATGAGGATCTTTGACAAAGACTTGTCAGTTCTTGTTTCCTTCCAAGACAACAAATATATGTACATTGTGCATCTTCTATAACAAATCAATATGAGTTGCATGATATTCAACTTCAAGTATCAGACATTTGTAAAGTCTTTGCATGAGGTTTTTGAGGACTAAGTTCATGGTGAAATCTTTCTAGAGTAGCCAATCTGCTTTTGATATGATCGATTCTGTGATAAGCTAGAGTCAAATCTTTAGATGCTGCATATGATGATCCCTCATGAGGCTGACCTAAAACAAAATCAATCACTTTATAAATGAAAGAACCTTAGTGAGCGCGCTCACATACCCCACGTCCCCACATTGTCATTGGAGAAATAAAATAAGTGTAAGAAAAAAAAATCGAATCATAATTTCCTATCAATATGCACATCTTCATAGTATGTCCTTATTATCTACACAGTTTCATGAAATTCTGTTGTGTGGTTTGAGAGGAGTTGCGATGACAAAAGGTTGCAGTAGTATATTGGGCAAATAAGTTCAAAGGGGCGTAACTCCTGGAAAAAAAATTGAATCGTAATTTCCTGTCGATATGCACATCTACGTAGTATGTCCTTATTATCTGAAAAGGTTTCATGAAATTCTGTTGTGTGGTTTGAGAGGAGTTGCGATGACAAAAGGTTGCAGTAGTATATTGGGCAAATAAGTTCAAAGGGGCGTAACTCCTGGAAAAAAAATTGAATCGCAATTTCCTGTCGATATGCACATCTACGTAGTATGTCCTTATTATCTGAAAAGGTTTCATGAAATTCTGTTGTGTGGTTTGAGAGGAGTTGCGATGACAAACTGTTGCAGTAGTACATTAAAGTAAATAAGTTCAAAGGGGCGTAACTCCTAGAAAAAAAATTGAATCGCAATTTCCTGTCGATATGCATAACTACATAGTATGTCCTTATTATCTAAAAAGGTTTCGTGAAATTCTGTTGGGTGGTTTGAGAGGAGTTGCGATGACAAGAAACAGGACTGACTGACGGACTGTTGGACGGGTCAAAAACATTATACCCTCCGCAACCCGTTGCGTGGGGTATAATAATCAGGAACAATACCAATTGTATAAACTGCTTTTTGGTAATCAATTGGAAAAGTTACAATTCTTGAACTGATTTGACAGCTATGCTAGGGAAATCCATTTCATAAAATTAAAGCTAGTTGACTTATGCTTTAATTCCACTGAATTTTAATTGGAAACTGTTGTGGCATGACCTTAAAAGTCTTAGTTAAAATCATAATAACAATAAATAATATTAAATTGTAGGTTGACTGTTTAAATGTTGAATCTTTTTGTTTGTTTTATTTTCTTCTTTTATTTGATAACAGTTAAAATGGTAAGTAAGAATTATCATAGATATGTTTCAATGCAAAAAATACTTGCAAAATTGATGATTTAAAAGTCTTTTTATTTCATTTTTGTAACTACATAAACCTCAAAATGATATAACTAATTTTGTTAAATATTTCAAATAACAGTTAAGCACAAAGGAAATGTTCAAATAGAATCTTGGCACTCATAATTTGTTCAAATAGCACCTTAGCACCCAGAAAAAGAGTCTTAATGGCAGATAACTGACATAGGAACTTACAGACAGATAATTGATATAGGAACTTACCAACAGACAATTTATTTAGGAACTTACCAACAGATAATTGATATAGGAACTTAGACAGATAACTGATATAGGAACTTACAGACAGATAATTGATATAGGAACTTACCAACAGATAACTGATATAGGAACTTACCAACAGACAATTGATATAGGAACTTACCAACAGATAACCGATATAGGAACTTACAGACAGATAACTGATATAGGAACTTACCAACAGATAAATAACTGATATAGGAACTTACCAACAGATAACTGATATAGGAACTTACCAACAGATAACTGATATAGGAACTTACCAACAGTTATTGATATAGGAACTTACCAACAGATGATTGATATATGAACTTACCAACAGATAATTGATATATGAACTTACCAACAGATAATTGATATATGAACTTACCAACAGATAATTGATATAAGAACTTACCAACAGATAATTGATATAGGAACTTACCAACAGATAATTGATATAGAAACTTACCAACATATAATTGATATAGGAACTTACCAATAGATAATTGATATCATGGATATAGGAACTTACAGACATATAATTGATATATGAACTTACCAACAGATAATTGATATAGGAACTTACCAACAGTTATTGATATAGGAACTTACCAACAGATAATTGATATATGAACTTACAGACATATAATTGATATAGGAACTTACCAACAGATAATTGATATAGGAACCTACCAACAGATAATTGATATAGGAACTTACCAACATATAATTGATATAGGAACTTACAGACATATAATTGATATAGGAACTTACCAATAGATAATTGATATCATGGATATAGGAACTTACAGACATATAATTGATATAGGAACTTACAAACAGACAATTGATATAGGAATATACCCACAGATAATTGATATAGGATAACTGATATAGGAACTTACCAACAGATAATTGATATAGAGACTGAACGACAGACAATTGATATAGAAACTTATCAACAGACAATTGGTGTAGAAACTGACAGAAAGACAATTGATATAGAAACTGACCAACATATAATTGATATAATAGAAACTGACCAACAGATAGTTGACATAGAAACTTACCGACACATAATTGATATAGAAATTTACAGACACTTAATTGATATACGGTAGTAACTTACCAACAGATAATTGATATAGAAACTTATCAATAGATAATTGATAAATAAACTTATCAATAGATAATTGATAAACAAACTTACCAGTAGAAACTTGTGTGAGGTAGTTAATATGGTTTGTCATTTTCTTCTCTACTTCCATTAAAGTTTTCATGAAAGTATGTGTATGTGTCTCTATTTGTTTAGCTTGTGGCTTTTCTTTGGCTAGTTCCTGGAGAGCTAAACCTAAAAGAATTTAATTATCCTGATTATATATGAAATATTTACAATGGGATATTAACAAAGTTGTGTTTTATGAGTTAATGTGTATGTAGGGACATATATGTACCTAATATTCAAGCATCAGATTATTTAAATTGCAATACATACATGATTGCTTCTGCTTACATGTGTAGATAAATAAGAATCAATCATTCAATCTTTTACCATAGATCATGTTTGTTTCACTATGACTATTCTTTCTTTGATTGATTTACACATTTCAAGAGGAAATAATTTTCTACCTAAGTGTTGCATGCATATAGAGATTAAGTGTAGAATTCAATGACACATGACCAAACCGAAGACAATATGGATAGTTAACAAATGGCTTTCAGTCAAGGAAGGGCACTAAGTAATTATTATGATGCTATTATAAGCTAGATGCTCTAATGAGCCTGTTTCGCTCTCCAACATTGTTCATGACTAAAATCTCTTCTTTGATGATCATGTATAGCTTATTACATCTAATGTTTACAGTTTCTCTCCTATAATTTTTGCCCAAAATTAAAAAGGGTAATTATAATCAATCTTCATTTAAAAATGTATATTATAAACAGTAACTCCTAACTTTCACTGTAAACATGGAGAAATTCAATTTTATGCTACAATCCAAGAAATATCGCATATATATCAACTAATAAACATTGAAAGCATATTCATTTTTCAAGCCAGCAATTTTCTGTTACAATCATTTGCTAAAACTTACCGCAGTTGACATTTATCATAAAAGTCTTCAGTTGGAAAGTTCATTTTGTATGAAGTCACAGAATTTTATTTTATTTCAAATTGATACATTTATTTCAATACCTAACATATTATTTCTTTATAGACAATGAAGACATCAACACCCATGTTATACAGACATAATAATTTCTTTATTATTTTGGTATAACATGGGTGTTGATGTCTTTATTTTCTAAAATTTTATGTACCGGTAGAAAGACAACTGCTGAATACCACTAGGTATCCATCCTAACTTTACCGCTACCACAGGTCAACCACTGCAGGGTGTTGGTTCACTTCACCAATTACATATTATTTCATTATGTAATGCATTAGTATAGGAATTTATTTTATTTATTAATTTTATCCTTTATTCAACATGAAACAAATTGTTTTGTTTGTTTACATTGTCAGGTACATTTTGGGATATTGTATATGTTGCTATTTAACAAAGTACTGCCATATCTAGTTAAAATGTCCAATTAAACTATATCCTATCTGTCCTTTATAGCTTGCTGTTTGGTGTGAGCCAAGGCTCCGTGTTGAAGGCGTACTTTGACCTATAATTGTTTACTTTTTACACATTGTGACTTGGATGGAGAGTTGTCTCATTGGCACTCATACCACACCCTTCTTATTTATATTTGTAAGCAATAATATGATTATCGTTAGCTTTAGTCAGTAGATACTTTCGTAATAAAGGATTTTTCTTGAAAATTTGACATGCATTGATGATAAGTACAGTTCCGAGTACTTCAACTTCCTCCACCATAATAACAGATCCGCCCGGTGTCCTAACACTCCCTTGTGTTGGGGTGGGGATTGTTCTTGTAAATATTGAACATTGTAAATACCTTAGTGACACATCTCCATTAATCCCGATAGGGAGTGTACACGGATTCCACTGTACCCTTGCAGCTCTCGAGGGGTGCTCCGTAAACGGAAGGATCTACGTACATACATACATACATATGTATATATTATATTATTATAGTTTGAGTTATTCAGAGGGCATCAGGGGAGATTAGTATTGTACTAACTGATTTTACCCGCTTTAAATGGTCCTTTAAATAAAGTATTTATTATTATTATTAATATTATTTTGTCTGTAAAGTTATAAGGGGAGATAAGTTTCACCCTAGAATGTTTTGGGTTACATTACTTTAAGTAATATTTATTGTCCATGTATTTAAATGAAATGAATTATCAAATTTTTTACTAATGCTTTACCAGCACTATGAATAGCTGTTGCAATTTCCCTCTCAATAATATCGAGTTGTTGGATTCTTTCGACAGGACCGGAACCCATATTTACAATGATAAAACCGGACACGTAATTAGGAAAGGAATGCAGTTTCCGGAAGATATTTTAATTTTTGCACCCTCACACATTGGATTAAAAAAAAATTTAAATCTTAGGAAAGATTTTACTCAGGACAATCACTATGTGCATTCTTATGGGGATGTGGGTGGGTATATGTTGAGATTGATAATTTGACTGAATAGCCCTAGATTTTGTCATGAAACCGAAATGCAGCAGACTTCGATTTCGCAACTGGGAAAACAGTTATTTATAGTTTGTGGTCTACACTGAGACTACTGTGCTACATGACGCAAATGTATTAGGCCTATCATGAGTAGTTAACTAGTTAAGATCAGTTAACGGCATTTCGAATAGCCTACACTACCTTGAAAATTAATTATCTAAATAAGATGGACGAAGATGTTAACCGTAAACGTATACTTAGTTATTGGGAAAATACCATTATTGACAAAATGAAAGGATATTCAACCCTAAAATTTCTTAATGATCAGTATATATGATTGGTATAATACAACCTTACTTAGAGAAGTTACTACACACATAAAAGAGAAAATGCAACTTATGTAAAGAAACACTATTAACAGTAAAACATGTAGAAGGTGCATTCTGAGACTACTACACTACACATTTTTAAAAGCATATTAATAACCGTTTGTAGAAAGGAAATGAATAATGTAAAAAAATATGTGAGCGGAGATAGAAGTTCTATAAGCTTGTGTCGTCTAAAGTTATATATAAAATAAAAGCGCATGACGGAATAAAACGGTTCGTTGTTCGGCCAAGAAAAGATCAGCATATGTGATTGAACAACTTATTTTTCAATCTAAATAAAACTTAAACCTGAAATATCAGAATAATGGAGTTGTCTTTCTTTATCCAAATCTAGCTTGATGTCATTAATACTTGTTTATTATGTTATGATAATTGCATTGTTCACAAAATTCACTTGGCAAATAAAAGTATGATAATCTGTATCTATTCATTTATGTATTCTCTTTTTGTATGCATGACCACTACTGATGATCAGGTTAGGATTAACAGAATAAAGAAAAATTATAAAAAAAAAGAATAGAGAAAGCGGACAAAAATTTAAAAACAATGGGGTGCTGAAATATAAATAAAAGAGCATAATTTAACGATAAAAAAATTCCCAAAAACAACACAAAACATGATATCGACAAATAAAGAATAAAGAAAAATGGCCTAAAATAAAAAGGATACCCTCCGGATCACAAATTTTAAGACACAAAGAAACATGGATGGGGATAGCCACAATTTCACACATGCTTGCTAATATGGTTAGACCTACTATCTAAATAGACATGGGTATCTGGAAAAGCAATCACTAAAAGATATTAAAGATTGCTAAACCAATGCAGGCGGTTTGAATTGTAAATACGTTTGTCATTTCGGGCCTTTTATAGCTTACTATGAGGTATGGGTTTTGCTCATTGTTGAAAGCCTTACGGTGACCTATAGTTGTAAACTTCTACGTCATTTGGTCTCTGGTGGAGAGTTGACTCATTGATGATCATACCATATCTTCTTATATTTGTAGAACACATATCGTACAAAACTTACAAGTAAATATATTGAAACATTTGTTTTCCAGTTGAAACTATCTGAAGTTGTATCTATACAGACAAAGAATAGTTAAATGATCAATGAGAAGTATATGATTACATAAGAACAATGATTAAAGTTGTTAAAAATTTCTCATTGGAAACTGTTTCCCGTTCGGCAGTAAAAGTTTATCGACATGTTGTAGGTACTTTTTGAATTTCCGGCGTTCCCTTTTGTTACTGTCCCTTTTTTGGATGGTGACGTTCCCTTTGTCCATTCTTATAGTGTATATACTTCCCAACTCGTTCGCTATGTCCGTGTCTAAAGTGACGTTTCAGATTACAATGAACGTAATCTATGAATACTTGAACTGATAAATTAGTAAGTCAATGATTTCGTTACCATAAATTACTTAAAATATTTATTAAATTCTTGCATTGATAAAAAAAAAATGGTTTCAGAAAGTTTGGCTATACGTGTAGAAAACTAATAACTAACAGGGTGTCGCATTCTAAATGTCACCGTAGCAATTTATCAGAAGAGTACAGCTATTATACTAGGACTATATACTATATGTTGTCTGTACTATATTTACTATCATTTACACATCCAAAAAGCCTACAAAAATTAAATGTGCTTACCTGAAAATAGGGGAAAAGCTGTATATCCCATAGCTCTTTTATGTGCGTGCCTAAGTGTGAAACTCGCATTAGTAAGAGTACACAGTATATATAGTACCAGAAAATGTGGCGGGGTTGCATGCATTATTAATTCGTACAGAGTAGTATGTAGACTAAAGTCTTTTTCTAACTGTCCGTCAATGAATGAATGGATGTTTAAATGATAGTAAATATAGTACAGACAACATATAGTATAGTACTAGTATAATAGCTGTACACTTCTCATAAATTGCTACGGTGACGCATTCTCGGCCAATGGAGAAAATATCGTCCCTGAAATTTTATCTCCTAATCATGACTAGTCAAAAAGGAAACATAATGGTAAGTTAAGTTCAACTGCCATAAGACATTGCAATGACAAATTCTTTACACACACACACAAACAAAATGAACAAAATCGAAATCATATGATCCCAAATTTAGGGAAAAGGACAAGTGAAAAAAAATAATCGTGAAATTCCATCATACCAAGTAGATAGACAGCAAGTGCAACTCTACCAAGGTAGAATGGTGGAAATCCATAGCATGAAACATAGTTCTTATCATTGAATCAAAATTCTAAAATATATACGAAAGTAAAATAAGATAACGCAATAATATGAAAGATGTGCATGAACACAAAACGACAATAACCCAACAAGTATCATTTCCTAGTGGTACCAGTCAATTTGTTTCTCATTCTCCGAAATAATTCTTTCCATATAATTAAACCATGTACGACTAAGGTCCATTGATGGATGTACCCCCATCCTCTAACTTAGAAAACATATATTGTATCTTATCACCCTTCTTCTTGTGTACATAAGTGTGCAGAAACGGAGTGATCATATTGTTTCTACAATTAAGCTCAGTAATGAACTTATTTATTTCCCGCAAGATCTCGTGTAATTTTCTTGCATTTTCGGATAATCATCTTCACACAGTAGATATTTTGTTTTATTAATCATACGCCTGTGGCTATTACAATCCCAGAAACTAGATGTTGTAATAGTTGTAAATACAACTTTTCCCCCAAACTCCTTAATTTTACGTTCAGTATTCGAAATAATCTCTTTCATTTTAGAAACATGATCAACTTCCAGATCTAATCATGACTCTTTGTATAAAGAAAATCGATCCTTTTTCTTGTCAATGTACAGATATCAGGAATTCCAACAACAATATATATAATTATTATACATCCACTCATATCACCCTTTAGTCTAGAAACTGCTATATATACGACACAAATCTTGTAATTTACCACCAGACTTCACTTGACATAAATATCCTTACAAGCCATCCCATAGAAACACTTTCCTCTACTAGACGTGAACAGATATGAATGAGGATAAGATACCATATCTATAAACAACAAAAATAACTATATAAAAATATATATACACCATATGAGTAAAAAATGAAAAAATCAATCAATGACTTCACACACACACAAAACAAAACAACTAAAACTGTCATAAAAAACTATCAACGGTACAAAACAAAATCCTGATATTGTTGAGGAACTCTGCTCTGTCTTGTCGTACAACGTAAAACAGGTTGTGCATCTGTTTGCTCATGTATATCAGTTTTATCTCCCGTATTATTACTAGCTGATGCACCACTAAATGTAGAACTAGGATTTACCTCAGAAATTATACACGTCTGACCAGACGAATCACTAGCCACTTCACACACACACAAAACAAAACAACTAAAACTGTCATAAAAAACTATCAACGGTACAAAACAAAATCCTGATATTGTTGAGGAACTCTGCTCTGTCTTGTCGTACAACGTAAAACAGGTTGTGCATCTGTTTGCTCATGTATATCAGTTTTATCTCCCGTATTATTACTAGCTGATGCACCACTAAATGTAGAACTAGGATTTACCTCAGAAATTATACACGTCTGACCAGACGAATCACTAGCCACTTCACCACTATAACCTGACTGTGCTATAGACAACCAGGGCCGTAACAAGTCTCTTTTAAAAGTCAGGCAAAATATATTCGCCGAGCGTAGCGAGGCTAAAAAAATTATGCGAGGGGTCTGGTGGCCCTCTGGAATTATAACGCGAACTCGTGCATTCTGAGCATTTCCCGGATCATTTCTTAATCTGAAACGCAACTTTTGTTTTAATTTTTTTTTCGGCAATATTCTGGTCTCAACGCATAATATATGGATTTAGAGTAAGACTTTTAGTTTTTAAGGAAACATCAGAAGACCGATATGTAAGATAAAGCAAAAATTGTAATTCACATAGTTAAGTGTTTGGCCAGTTTTTTAGTTGTTTATTTTTTTTTTTTGAGTTTCGGCTTGCATGTCAATTATTTTTTTTTCATTAAGTTAAGAGGGGGCTGATAATCATTGATATAACAATGTGAATTCTATTTTTATAACACACTTCAATTACAATTTGATGTAGTTCCTCACTGGGAAAAAGGGTACACTCAGGGTAGATTCAGGAAAACTGTTCTTAGACCTCATTGCTACATTTTTGTGCTGTTTTAATATTATACGGACTGGATAATGCCGGATCTGTCTGTTCTGGTCTTGTATTGAGTTTAGACTTTGGTGTAATTTTTTTGTGACTCACAGTACACTACTTAAAGTACCACTGAAGTCCACGCTAGGGACCGTCTTTATCTTGTTGTAGGGTATGAATGAGTCCTTCATTGTTGAAGACCATCCAGCGACTGTCAAAATGTATAAAAGCCCTATTCATTGATAATTTGTATTTTTTCGATGTATTGTGGGCGGTTTTGTCCCATGCACATTAACTCCATATCCCTTCATTTTCTATGTAAGGGCCTGAACACGGCTTAATGGCAGTTTAGAACTTCAATTTAAAAGGTCATAAGGCAATACTTTTTTTTAATTTTTAAATGATTTGATTCCGGGAGATTGGTTGTCTCACTTCAATCAAACCTATGTCAGCTTTTTAGTTTTTTTTTACACAAAAGAGAGCATAGAAAGAATATAAAGTTTAATTTTCAATGAAAAAAAACGATCATTTTTTTCTATGTCCGGTAGTCGTATCATCTCAAAACATTTTCTTGAATATTATCTGGACATCGGTGGACATGTGTAAGAGGGTGTTGATTGGGTTTACAGAATAACAAAAAATGAAGAATGGAGAATAATGGGGTGCTTAAATGTAAAGAATAATCATAACTGCAAAACTGAAAGAATTGGGTAAAAAATATACTGATTACAGAAAAGAACACAGAAATGAAGGTTCCCCTCCCCCATCCATACCCACATGTAACATTGCCAAACCACACATCCGTTCACCCGTCATCGTAGATCTTTCTCGAGTCTTAAGTTTACGCAAAACAGAAAGACAAACCCGGGAACAGATAAGACACATAACAACAAACAATAGACAATCAACACTGAAAACTAAAAGTAAATGAGAAACACGTATCACGAAAAAAACAGAACTTGTTTTTGCAAGACATTCGCCGTGAAACAATTTGATATGAAGACAAATTTTATTTCAAATTTTTGTTCTGGTTGAAATTTCCAACATGAGGCATTTGCCTCATTTGCCTCAATGTAGTTACGGCCCTGACAACGGACGAGAACTACTAAAATAGGAACTGACACACGAAACGGGTAAAGAACTATTAGAAGATGTCGGTAAAAACTCTGGGGTCTGAAGATTTAATACCAACTGAGAACTTCGGTCCTTGTTTCTTATGCCCGGAGACCAAGTAACAACAACACAAATATCGTCATCTTCGTCTTCGTCTTCATCATTGTATAGTTATTACTTACCTCATTGAGCGTTTGCTCATTTTATCACTATCAACTGTATCGTCTTTTTGTAATACCTGACAAGGTCTAGACAAAGTGTTACCCTTTTTATTCCTTGAAGGAGCCTGTTCTCGTACTATCTCCTCTGTAGGTTGTGAGAAAATAGGTAGTAGCATATTTCTATGTACGGTCACCTTTCTTGAACGACCGTGTTCAGGTTTTAGTACGTATACAGGTATACTTGAGTCAGGTTGAGATTCTACAATATACGGATCTCTATCCCACTTATTCTGAACTTTATGCTTACCTTTAAATCCAACTTTCTTTACTAAAACTCTATCCCCTTCTGAAGATCAGAATGGCGTACCTTCAAATCATACCTAGTATTATGACTTTTACTTGCCTTTTCAGCTACATTTGCTGCCGTTTTATAAGCGAATTTCAATCCCTTTTCTAAGTTACTTGCGTATGTTTTGTGATCTTTTACAGGTGAGCCAGATGAAATCCATAGGAACGCGTCTATAGCCAGTCTTGAATGCCAACCAAACATTAAAAAGTGAGGACTATATCCTATACTTTCATGTCTGGTAGCGTTGTAAGAATGGACAAGAGGTGCTACATAGGATTTCCAATCGGATTTCTGATCTTCCTCTAAAGTACCCAACAGGTTGAATAGTGTCTGGTTAAACCGCTCACACTGTCTATTTCCATGGGCCCGATTTTCACGACAGAGATCTTTTCTGGGTCTTTTTTTATACCCTCATTGCATGTATCACATTCTAAATTTTACGGTGATGTAGTTTTAGAGCCCATACATTAAGATACGATTCATTTAAGCATATTGATCCTTTGAATAAACTTATTATAAAAGATTAACAATTTAACACTGTAATAAGATTTTTAGATATTGTTTTTATCGGTACTGATATTGATTTTATCAATAAATTAAAACATAACTATTTTTTTAATTTTATTTTTAACTATTGATATACATTTATTACCATTTAAGGTTCTACATCCTATCGAAACTTGTATGTTGGCATTGCACAAGGTCATGTTTTCCTAGACTGTTTATGACGTTTTTACACTAAATTCATTGGATGTGTTCTGAGTGATATTTTGTCTTGGATACATAATTCATTTACTAGTTGTCTTTATTGTTTTAGTGCTGTTCGACATCTACGGCAACACAACTTCTACAAGCACCGACAGTGTTTAATGTCCTAGACCACTCACCCGATAGGCTGTGAGACATCAACGTCAACACAACCTCTACTAGCACTGACTGTATGCAGTGCCCTAGACCACTCACCTGATAGGCTGTGAGACATCAACGGCAACACAACCTCTACTAGCACTGACTGTGTCCAATGCCCTAGACCACTCACCCGATAGGCTGTGAGACATCAACGGCAACACAACCTCCAGTAGCACTGACTGTTTGCAGTGCTCTAGACCACTCACCCGATAGGCTGTGAGACATCAACGGCAACACAACCTCTACTAGCACTGAATGTGTCCAATGCCCTAGACCACTCACCCGATAGGCTGTGAGACATCAACGGCAACACAACCTCCACTAGCACTGACTGTTTGCAGTGCTCTAGACCACTCACCCGATAGGCTGTGAGACATCAACGGCAACACAACCTCTACTAGCACTGAATGTGTCCAATGCCCTAGACCACTCACCCGATAGGCTGTGAGACATCAACGGAAACACAACCTCCACTAGCACTGACTGTATGTAGTGCCCTAGACCACTCACCCGATAGGCTGTGAGACATCTACTGCAACACACCCTTCACTAGCACTGACTGTGTCCAGTGTCCGGCCAAGACCACTCACCCGATCGGCTGTGAGACATCAACGGCAACACAACCTCCACTAGCACTGACTGCATGTGTCCAGTGCCCTAGACCAGTCACCCGATCGGCTGTATGAACAGATCGTTTTCGTTAGTCTTATCATATCATCGAGTAATCTAGGGTTGCAACAGAATACACGAATTGATAATGTAAAATAAACTGGATATGGGTTTTCTCTGTAGTATATCATATATAACGAAGCATCTCGGAAAAGCAGTGTTCCCGTCATACTAGTAATATATATTTGCCTGTCGAAAGTATTTGTCGTATGTCATATCTTAATGTTTTGCATTATTTCGAGATTTGAGTATTAATAATATTTCTTTGATTGTTCCTGTTAAACCAGAACTTTTAAAGACGATTTAAAGCTTGACATATTGTATAGATTCTATTTGTGACTAAAGATGATGCCCTCTATGTGTGTTTTGTTTATTTTGTCGAAAGGTTGCTGTCTCATTGACGTATACCCACTTCCCTTTTATTCATACTATCTCGTGAAATTAACCATTCCTTCAATAGTTATAACCAGACAACAGATATCAGCCAAATTAGAAAACGAATATTTACGTTAATTTAGGTATCTGAAATATAAACAACTATTTATATTTTTGAACATTTTAATCATGGTAAATTACATTTACATTACAAGTCAACTTTATACGAGTTTTATAACCCAAATTTTAGAGTATAAGAATAAGTACATATTTCAAGATGACAATAATTTCTTTTTAATTTGTGCATTTCTGGTAAATAGAAAGGCAATCTATACAAATAAAAACCATGAATACCAAAACAATAATTGTTACTGCTAGTATGCCAACGGTCACTGACGTCGGTCTGTTGTCTGTAGCGCTAGATTTACGTCTAATGTATGAACTTATAGCCTTTTTGTCGACAGCAATTTCTTTTTGAATTTGTTCAACTTCCTTTTCTATTAACTCAAGTACTTTTCCTTTTGAAATATTAGAGTTAAGAAGGATATCCCATTTAGATACCGTCGTCTTACAGGGACAAGAACAGTAGTTTGCTTCTAAATAGGACTTTGTACTACTAGTATATAATTCTGTTGTTTCCGTGGAATAACCAACCTCATCCGATGACACGGTTTCTTTCTCTGTTGAATTGACGCCTTAAAAATACAAAGAAATTTAATCAAGATCTTGTTTTGTCGAATATAGCCATTTTTCAATCGAAATTCACGTGTGTTATGGCATGGTATTGGTTGCAAAAATTTGATATTTTTCATTTAAATGCAATATTTCTTATTTAATTGGTATATTTCTTCATTTAAATGCAATATTTTTTTATTTGAATGGTATATTTTTTCATTTAAATGCAATATTTTTTATTCAGATGGTATAATTTTTCATTCAAATGGTATAATTTTTCATTCAAATGGTATAATTTTTCATTCAAATGGTATATATTTTCGTTCAAATGCAATATTTTTTATTCAATTGGTATAAAATGTCATTTGAATGCAATATTTTTTATTCAATTGGTATAGTAGTTTTTTTTTTTTATATGCAATAATTGCATTATGGGAAATTCTTTGACGTCATAAGGTCAAATTTGCAACAACGTTTGTGATTGGTCGGTAATTGTTTGGATTTCTCCCCTTTCTTTCTAAACTTGAGTGACCAAGAATTAAAAAACGCGTCAGAATATCGCCCCTCTAACTAAATTTGGCGTTCGTGCGAGTTCGTGCACTGGCTGTTAATGCCAATAATGACCAGGACGAGCCAAAAATGCGAGTGACAAGTAATAATAATTAATTTGACACACAACTTGTTCATGGATAGAAACAGATGCCTGCGTGCATGGCAAAAACACCTCCAATGAAAACCTTTTCTGAAGAAACTCTCCTACAGTCTACACATTGAAATAAAAAAAAAAATACATAGCTAGCCCTCCTCCCCCTTCTAAGTCCAGATACATGTAATCATGACGTTCTTTAGTGCTATATCATTTTAAACTTTTTTTGATCCTCAGAGACGTTGCAGGAAGGCACACCTGAAAAAGAATAAAAAGCATCCAGGACGTTACAATTATTTGGACTAAGCCCTCTCTTTTTTACTACATGAAGAAAAAAAAATCACTTAATTACGACAGCAGAACCAGAAACCCACAAGTAGAGACATAAGCTGTTATACTCCGGAACTAATTCTTTAATAAAGACAATTCAGGATAAATTGGAACCAGTTACTAAACCATGTTACAACAATAGTTCTTTGACATAGGACTTCACTATATGAGGCGTGAACTTCATATTCAATACTATCTATAATATGTGCTCTCATGTCTTATGCTGCAAATCATTTTACATTTAGGATTCGTTGCTGAGCTTTTTTTTACTGTTCTCGTCTCCGAATCCCTTAAATAGATTTTTTTTTCAAGCCCCACAGTAGTTCTATAATTACTATATGTCTTTGCATAAATAAGTATGCAGGGCATATTTCAAAAAATATTTTATCTTCAGGACTTTTAAATGATTTACTTTTCAATACTGCATTGGGAAGGGGGTATACAAGTTTATTTTGTGACACATTATATAATATAATTAGGTATCCAACAAATTATATGATTATACGTTTAGCTATTATCTAGACCCGTACAAAATGTATATAATTAGACACATTTAACAGGGGCGGATCCAAAACCTCGGTGTCTAGAAGGGGGGGGGGGAGTAGGTTCAAATTTAGATATTTGTATAGAGATGTATATATGCGAGTATTGGCAGTAATAGTTATGGTGTGTGTGTGTGAGGGTAGGGGTTTCAGATCAAAGATCGTTTCTATAATTCTATATCTTTTAGTTTTTACCATTTCACTCTATTCTTTATCCTTTGATCTCTATTATATTTGTCCTAAACATGCGTGACATATTTGCCACTGAACATAAGGCAACCAAAAGTCAATCAACGTATTCTGTATATTTCATCATTTCTTTATTATGTTATCTATAGGTTTGGTCCCGCCCCTTATCTATTTTTTTGCACACTAAGGGACGACATCAAAAGTTCAATGTAGGATAAAAAAAACTTAATTCATATAGTTTTTTTCACTGACCCCCTACCCCCCCCCCCCCCCCCCCCCCCTTCTTAACTTAATTTGGGAAACATTGATTGACCAATAAGGATATATATAAAATCGATGTTAATTAAACAAAACTTGCAGCAATTTTGACCCCCCCCCCCAAAAAAAAAAAAACTATTTGAATTAAGTTTTTTATCCTTCATTGATTTTCTGATGTCGTCCCTTATCCTCTCTATGTAAACCCAATTCATGTCCTGATAAATGGTGACTCATGCATAGCATCATATGTGGTTATTAAAACAAGAAACATATTCATATTATAATAATTAAGGTATGCTAGGACTTATAGATAGTAGTCATTAGTCCCAGGACATGTAATAAAGTAGGTCTTATAAAAATACAATAGCATTTTAATTTTGATGATTATATATATGTTTATATATTTAATAATGCCATTTTTTTGGAAAAAAGGGTACGGGCAAGGCGTTTTTAAAACATATCAATGGGGCGCGGTTTTTTTTTTTGTTGTTCTTCGGAAGTGAGCCAGAAGAAGTCCATTTCTGGTTTTTTTTTGCATTGGTAAGATCTTCTGGCTCTCTTCCACCTCTTCATTTTTGATAGGTTGACGGCAGAGGCACATAACAAACAAAGCGTCGTTTAGTCTAAATGAAATTAATAAATTTGTGAATGCAGATATATTAGAATGTGAGCTGTTTTATAAACGTTTTTATGGTATGACAGCCTTAGTAGGACATCCCTGTAGGACGATAAGCTGGATAAATATAAGAACTACACGGACAATAACAGTTAAGGGACGATTATTTGATATTCTAGGGAAGGGATTTTGATTGATTGGTGTTTAACGCTACTTTCAACACTATTGGGCTATTCCGTGGTGGTCAGTTTAAATTTATAGATGAAGGATGGGGAAGGGAAGAGAGGGCATTATTATTCATTTCAATCTGTCGCTAATCATGCCTATTTTTCAGCTCTTACCAGGCAACCATATTCATATATGAAATCCTTCTGTCCCCCATCCCAACAAATAAATAAATATCAAATGGTTTTCCTCTTATTTAACACAAGTTTAAATTGATTGATTGTTTGTTGCTAATTTTAACGCCCAGTGAAAATTCTTTCATGCTTGTTCAGGAAAACACGAGTTTAGAAGTCACGTATATAGTATATAAATGAAGAGATGGAATATGATTGCTAATAAGGCAACTATCCACCGGAGTTCAAATATGAAGTGGATGTAAGCAATTATAGATAAGATAAGATAAGAAAAATTTATTTTAAGTCGGGTTACATGAAATACTACAAACATAAGCTCTGTTGACCTTTTTGCCGTCATGTAGACAAATGCTTTTTGTAGACAATCGTAAGGCCTTCAACAATGACAAAAACCTGATACTGTAAAGTCGTCTATAAAAGGCACGACATGAAAAGTGTGAACAATTAAAAAAAAAACCAACAGCCTAATTATACATAACAAAACAATTTACAAAATATCAAATATGAGTCGAGACAGGAACCAACGACAACCACTAAACTACAAGCTCCATCCCTGGGAAAATAAAGAACATGGCAGGGTGGATATAAAAACGAAGATGTGGTATGATTGCAAATGAGACAACTCTCCACAAGAGATCAAATGACACAGAAATCAACAGCTATAAGTCACCGTACGGCCTTCGACAATAAGCAAAGCCTACACCGCATAGTCAGCTATAAAAGGCCCAGAAATCAAAAATGTAAAACAATTCAATCGAGAAAACTAACGGCCGAATTAATGTACAAAAAAATGAACGAAACACAAATAAGTATAACAAAGCAACAAACGGCAACCACAGAATTACAGGCTCCTGACTTGGGACAAGCACATACATACAGAATGTGGCGGGGTTTAACATGTTAGCGGGATCAACATGTTTGTGAGCAACCCATCCCGAAGCTGGGACAGTGGTGTAACAGTACAATAAAATAACAACCTGCACAAATCAGCAAATTAACTCAAAAGATCGATACGAGACACACAAAAAATAACATTAAGACAATAAGCACCGACATAAGAGTAATTGCAATTACTGGAAGTTTGCTCATACCTAATTACAACTGGTACTGAAACAAATCTTGTTCTCACAGACTGAGTTATCAATCAGTACACAACGCGCGGCAAAGGATTTAATAAAAAAAGAAAACAGTCCGAGAAACGTCTGGTTTACGTTGTATATAGATATAAGAAGATGTGGTATGAGTGCCGATGAGACAACTCTCCATCCAAGTCATAATTTGTAAATGTAAACCATTAAAGGTCAACGTACGGTCTTCAACACGGAGCCTTGGCTCAAACCGAACAGCAAGCTCTAAAGGGCCCCCAAAAAATTAGTAGTGTAAAACCATTCAAACGGGAAAACCAACGGTGTCTAATCTATTAAAAAAAAACGATATACTTGCATATAAATCCATGTACAATGAAACGGTTTTTGAAAAGTGGACCGAACGTTTTGACCATCAAAATTTTGCAATAGAAATACTAGTTATGACCACAAGATTTTAACAGCCAGTGCAGGACTCGCACAAATGTTAGATTTAGTTAGAGGGGCGATATTCTGACGCGTTTTTTAATTCTTGGTCACCCATGTTTAGAAAGAAAGGGGAGAAATCCAAACAATTTCCGACCAATCACAAACGTTGTTGCAAATTTGACCTTATGACGTCAAAGAATTTCCCATAATGCAATTATTGCATATAAATAAAAAACTACTATACCAATTGAATAAAAAGTATTGCATTCAAATGACATTTTATACCAATTGAATAAAAACTATTGCATTTGAACGAAAATTATACCATTTGAATGAAAAATTATACCATTTGAATGAAAAATTATAACATTTGAATAAAAAATATTGCATTTAAATGAAAAAATATACCATTCAAATAAAAAAAATATTGCATTTAAATGAAGAAATATACTAATTAAATAAGAAATATTGCATTTAAATGAAAAATATCAAATTTTTGCAACCAACACCATGCCATAGTGTGTCAAATATTTTGTGAAAGCTCGTATTAATATTTCATCAAGTGG